ATCATCAAATTTATTTTCATACAGGTTTAAATAAACACAAAATAAAGGTACAATGAAACACAATAAAAAATGTATTTAAAAGCTATAATAAAAAATTATTTAGATAAAAGGTAGACTAAAAACCAGATTAAATAGATTAAAACACAAAACAAAGATACAAATGATCAAAATAAAATATAATAAAAACACATTATTAAAAGCTGTAATAATGATAAAATGGAGCTAGTTTAAAGGTAGACTACAAATAAGATAAAATAGATTTAAAAAGAAAAAACAATTTTGAAAAAATTGATAAGAGGGATACAAACCACAGTATGAAAATGAAACAATTGAATCAAACAAAGTAAATGTTTATTCTTAATCAAAAGCCGGGCTGACGAGTCAGGTTTTCAGTTTATGTTTAAAGATTTCAACACTTTGCTCATAGATTCACAGGCCTCCAGCTTGGCATAAACTCTAAAAGTTGCCTCACTAAAGGTTTTAGTCCTGCACTTTGGAACAACTACCAGACTCGGGCCAGAGGATCTGAGAAGCCGTGCTAGTTCATACACTATGAGCAGGTGAGACACATAGGCCCTACTTTAAAAACAAGTAACAATTTAAAATCAACCCAATAACTGATCACCAATGTAAAGACTTCAAAATAGGTATAATGTGTTCTCTTCTTGCACTTGGGCCGCAGAGTTCTGAATCAGCTGTAGGTGATTTATAACTTTTTTGGTAGACCAGATAGCAGAGTCCTGCTCCATATTGTTATATAAAAGAGTTTAATTAGATTCTCGGTTACACTAGTGGTGGACAAAGTACATTTAGCCAAGTTCTGTACTTAAGTACAAATGAGAGGTATTTGTACTTTACTTGAGTATCTTCTTTCCATGCCACTTTCTACTTCTACTCTGCTACATCTAAGAGGGTGATATTGTAATTTTTACTTCACTACATTTATCTAATAACTTCAGTTAGCCAACTAGTTACTTTACAAATTACGATTTTTCACAAAATAAATATGAAGAATTAAAAAATATGATGTTTTATTATTAACTTAACTACCCAACAGTTTATACAAGTACACTATAGCTAGTATATATAGTTCACGGACAGAAATTTAATTGGCAACTATGTTGAAGTCATTTTTCAAGTAAAAAAATTTCATGCTTCCAGCTTCACAAATGTGAAGATTTGCTGTTTTTCCTTTTAATTAATGTATTTTTAATACTTGCATTGTGCATTGTAAAGTGTCACTTTGAGTTCTGGGGTACTGTGACAACATTTCTCTATATTTTCAAATTAAATGATTGATTAATCAAGAAAATAATCAGTAGATTAATCCTTTTTCACAAAAAGCAGATTAAAACTCCTGCATGGGTTTGGCAGACTTGCTGTCAAGCATAACAGGATGATTCTGCTCTCTTATTTAATGTGGTCTGGTCATGGTGGTTCCTCTGGTCAGGGTGTTGATCAAGGCATCAAGCGCTTCATGCCCTTGACAGAGCACAGAAATGAGTCAGATGTTGGACTGGATGAGCTGCAAATTAAATGCCTTTCTTGGGAAAAACATGTTCCCTGGAACTGAATTCAGTGGACATTTTATCAGGACGCCTCTAGAAATAGTCTATTGATTTATTTAAAGTATCTATAGCCTAATATTCTTCTACTTCTTCCCCTCCTTTTCTTCTTCTTAGGTTATTATTATTTTATTGTTCTCATATTTACTACGAAGCAAGTTCAACATACCCATTTCCAATCTTAGCGTTCAGATAAAAGGGTTTGCAGTTCATGACAATTTGCAAACATGGACAAGTCTACCGCTAGCAGAGCGAAGGGCAATTTATAATATTAGGCAAATACGAAGAAGTTAAACACGTAACCCAGGCTAAAAGCAACAATTGCAGCTGCCAAATGCAGGAAATCTGACTACGTGTGTGTTCCATTAAATGAATGTGTTGCATAGATGTATTATTATTATGGCGTGTATAACAATTTTAGTTTTATTCCTTCAGCTGCAGCGACTGTGTGTCGGCTTTTCGACATTAAATACCGCGGGCACTGAATAAGTGGTCATTCAACTCACTTTTTAGAAGTCCTCCTCACTTCAAAAATCAGATTCATTCATTTAACCCGGGCACTTAAAAAGGTTCAAAACATTGTTCTAAATTAACTTCATAAAGCAATGAAACCAAAAATCAAAGTCTTTATCTCAAACATGGCATCAGTTCCCACCATTTACTAAAAACTCAGCCACGTTATCTTCGCTGAAATAGCAAAAGGTGGGACGCTACATGACCAGTCTCTACAATAGTGTTCACTTTGTGTCGAAAGGGGGCGGGAACGTAAAGGCTCACGTTAGGATCGATGCACAATATTGGGTTCATGAGAACAAGACGAGAAGATATTTTAACAATATTCTGAAGAACTATTTAATGTTGGTGGATTTTTTTGTTTAACATTAAACACATAATTTCCTGCATTCTAGAGAAGCTGTCTGCATCAAATTATGGTGGAAATATCTCTAGAAAGGGAAACACAAAATTCATTCCATAAGAAAGAAATGCAACCAAATGCAAGTAATATTAGAGTTAACTTGAATACCAAAATATAGGCCTATGCACATAATATGTTGCCTCACATAAAAGCAAAAAAGAACCATTTAATTTAAGGGCTATAAGGCAGGCTGTGTGAAACGGACTTGGGAGCAAAGAAAATATAAAAACGTAGGCTAATGCAAAACTTAAGTAGGCTACAAGGCTTTAATGCTTTAATCAGTCTCTGTTGTAGGATGATACAAAGGCATCTTGCTTTCACCCACAGCTACATAAAGGTAGGTATAAAACTGTCTGCAGGATCTTCTACAAATGGTGACGCCATTTTCCAAGAAAACTGATCATAACTCTGATGTCAATATCTCAAACATAACCTGCTCTGGAGCTATAAGAAGTGAGAAGTGAACCACCGTTTTAGGACTGAAAACTCAGAGCTAACCCTGAAGTTACCTCCCTAACCTCAAATCCTGCTCCATACAGGCATCAGATCTTCTTGTTTATTTTCATGAAGCCTTTTATATTTACATACAAATTTGCAACAGCATTTTACAGACATATTCAAAACACACTATAGGCCACATGAGAGTTGACAGGTGTTTGTTAGACCACATAGGCCTGCTGGGATGATGACAAGAATTTCTACATCATGATGTACACACCAGACATCTGAACTGACATAGCAGCTGCTATTTGCTAATAAAAATTAACAGCTTGGGACTACCTTGGATTTGTTTTTCTGTACAGACTCTTGGTCAGAAAAAGTAGGCTACTTCACACAGGAATGTTAGGCTTTTAATGACACTTTTTGAATGTCATGAAAACAGTATAGGCCTATATAAATACAGTTCTTGAGTAAATGTAGGCTACTGTTTTGAGATACCTGTACTCTATTTTCATTTTATGCTACTTTATAGGCCTGCTCTCACTCCATTTCAGAGGGAATCTTTTTTTTCTCCACTACATTTGCAGCCATAGCTACTTGTTTTCAGATTCAGATTATTAATACAAACTAATTATAAAGAATAATATAGATTAAGCAACCCAACAGTATATAAAGCAGTTGAAATTAGCCCCACCTCCAACACTAAAGTTTTGTTCATAGATAGGCAAATGCATCACTAATTATAATCCAGTAATATAATATTTACTATTCTGAAATATCATTCAATTAAACTTGATTTGTATATGGCAACTTTCATTAAGGTTAATGCAGTTCAAAGTGCTTCACAGATGACTGACAAGTCAAACAAGACAGACCATATTTTAATCATACTTTGGTGCCTTACGAATATTTTGATGAAAAATACTTATGTACTGATACTTAAGTCAACTAAGTTACTTAACAGACAGCAAGTTAGTAAACGTAAACAATGCTGGATTTGCAAAAGCTTTTTCAGTAAGGGAATGCACTAGACATGTTAGATCACAGGGATACACACAATGAGTTTTGGTGAGAAACACTGAATGTAATGTAAATTTGTGTTTGTTGAGAACTCCACAGCTCCCCTTTAAGCTAAAGATGTGAGTACTTCTCACCACTGTTAAAAGACTGCCAAGCAGACATGTATAAAAAGGCTTGCAGAATAAATACTAGTATGTAGTATGTGTAAAATGATGACAAACCATTCAATTCAATCATTTGAAGTGGAATTTTAAATCTAGCGTATCTGTCTACAAAAAACAGTCATCAGTCTCACCTCCTGTGTGTCAGGTGTAACACAGGTGTGCTCAGATACTGAACTTTGCACCACCACAGCTAAAATTATGCCACAGGTGTTTACTGAGTGGTATTGTGAAAGGATTTGCCCACTTAAAATGTTACGCTAGAAAAGACATTTATTCATGTCTGAAACAAATGAGAGGTGCACTGATTGAATTGTCAAAACACTAATAATTATGCTGCTCTATCATATAATACAGCTTATCTTGTTATGTTTGTCTCATATCGCTGTGTTGCTAAGATTTAATACACTTAGTACACAGAACAGAACAGATAGCCATTCTCAGTAAATATGCTCTACACAAAGCCGCTGCAGGTGTATTCATTTTGAGCTTAAAGCTGCTGAAAACAAGTGGGGTGGAATTGAGATGTAATCTTTGCCTTTGACACACACACACACGCACACACACAGACACACACACACACACGCACACACACACACACACACACAAAAACCCACAGCCGAGACTCCCAACCCACACCCCTACTCCCCAATTCTGCCTCACATACCTTCTGTCATAATTTATCATTTTGCTCATTGGCCATTAGCAGAACTTCACCCAAGATGGCAAACAAAAAAATGTAATACACCTTTTGTAAGTTTGACACCAAATATCCAGAGACACCTGCAGATAAGAACTGGGGTTGCTGCTGTAGGTATTTATGGGTTGGGGGCTGGACATATGAACAAGTATAATGGAGCAGGAATAGTGAGGACATCCTCAGACCTTAGATACAAAATGGAGAAGAAAAGTGAAGGAACCTTGGCTATTGTGTTGCTGGCTTTAATACAAGGTAGGCTCTGTTATGGTTGATGAATTTGTGAATACCGGTATAATAACTTCATTATATACTAGTAAAAATGGAAGAGTATGATGAAGAGTCTTTTTTATCATTTAAGTCGTTGTCTACCTTAGGTTTTCTGGCCTCTAGTGCTGTGGAGGTGCAGCCCTCCATCAACCCTGCTGCAGTCGGGGACACAGTGACACTGTCTCTGTCTCCCTCTATAACTCTAAAAAGTGGAAGCTGGGCAGTGGGAGAGTCCCTCATACTCACCTGGGTGGGTAACCAGCTGGCAGTCTTCCCTAGTCACAGCGGCAGGGCGACAGCCAACGTCCTCACTGGAGCTCTTACTCTGAGCTCCGTCAAGGTGGCCGACTCAGGAGTCTACGCAGTGCAAAGCAGTGACCCCCCATTTAATGCCAATACTTCCATCACTGTTCTGGGTAAGGCTAAACAAATGGCTTTTTGTCAAGGTTTCAACGCTTCTCAGGCCCAGCCCATAGTAAACTATTAAAATGTAATTTTAAGGTGAGAATTTTGCTTAGTAGCAGCATAAATGTGGATTTACTTGAAGTATGAAGTATTTCCAACAGCGTACTATCTGCCTTATTGACCTGAATAGAAAATATCAAATGAATAAGAGCTCAAGTATCACTGATTGACATATCCGTAAACAAGATATTCAATCTGCACCAAATAATACTGCTAATAAAAAAAATACAACATGAATGTGTATAGGCTGCTGCTAGAATTGCCTATGTGGTGACATTATTACTATATCGGTTTATTAAGGATATGTATAATTATGTACAGTCAACAACAATCAGTTTTAAAGGCACACAATGCAATAAAATAATCGGTGTTAACCGGACAACCACAAATGAGCAACATAAGGAAATGTGGACAGACAACAGCCAAACTAGTGAGATCGTCGAAGACAACAATCATATTAGAAGTAATAACATCACACAAACAAACATATAGAAGCATATAAGAAACAGTGAACATTGTCAGTACAGTCTTTTTCAACTCATTGCAATGAATAAGTACGACTATACACAGACAGGGAGAGGCAGAGACAAATGTGCTGATGAATTGTTCATACGTTTTATTGGAACAGGTTCCTGTTGTTATTGCAGAAAACAATGATTCCATAACAATATTCAGAAAGAACTTAAAAGAATTCATGTTTCTGCCTCGTGATGTTTGGACTTACAATCAGCAAATTTATATACTGTAGCTTGCTGTTTACAGCCTGCATGCATTTAGCTTTGCTCATATTCTCACCTTTATCTTGTCCTCAGAGCCTTTTTCTGCTGTGTCAGTAGCTCCTGACACATCTCTGCCCCCATACACAATGAAATCCTAGTTACTGTTACCTCCCGTACATCTCTGGGACATAACAGTTATAATATGTATATGACTTAATATGAACATATCATGTTTTGCATTTTGGCTTAAACAATATTACATTAGATGGAATACAAAGCTATCATACCACGTTCTAAAAAACTATTCTTTTTAAAGGGTCTATAAGCTGTAACACTTTACCTTTATTAATGGCTAATAAATCATTGTAATTCTTTTTAGATCAGTAATTATCCTTAATAAGTAACCATCCTTAATAACATCATCATTTAAGCACAATCCATTTGGCTGGTGTTTATCCTTTAGCATAATAAGTCACTTTAGCATAATAAGTCACTTTTAGCTAGTTGTTTAAATTTACACACAATTCCTACAATGTCAACAAAAACTGGCCAGCTTCATTATGTTACTATGGGTTGAGGCATGTGGAAGATCAACATTAACACAGGATACTGTTCCTCCACTGCTTACAAAGCCTATACTTGATCATGATCCTTGTCTCATCAACGTCTTCCACAGAGCCCATTTCAAATGTGACACTAAGGGTGAATCAAACCAACCGGATGGAGTTCAACAGTTCAGCAGTCATTACGTGCTCTGTTTCCTCTGGATCCTCCCTCTCTTTCCTCTGGCTGAACGGCAGCTCTGAGGTTACAGCCAGCAACAGAGTTCAGCTCACTGATGGAAACTCCACTCTCACTATACTCAGTGCAACCCGCTATGACCAGGGACCATTCAGGTGTCGTGTGTTCAATCCTGTCAGTAATGGCACCAGTGATCCAGTAAACTTTACTATCAATTGTGAGTAGAACAGTGTAATTTTCATCATAATTTGCTATAATTGCCCCATGTCTAATCATCAAATTCCATTAACAGAGCTCTAACAAGCAGTATGCCTCTCCTCTTTTGTCTGTTTCTCAGATGGTCCTGATAACATGGCCATAACAGTGAATGGACAGAACAAGACTTCCTTCTCTATTGGATCCAATCTGGCCATGCTCTGTTCAGTGCAGTCCAATCCTCCAGCTCAGCTTCAGTGGGCCTTCAGAGGAGGGCTTGTGAACACTACAGGTCTATTGTTGAAGCTGTTCAGCGTCAACGAAGATCAAAGTGGTCCATATTCTTGTCTGGCCTTTAACAATCTCACCAACACCAACGGCAATATCACCATACACATCGTGATAGCAGGTGAGTTTGTTTGTATGGTGATGTCAAATTCCGTATTTCTCCAGCTGTTATCAACTTCATCCTAACTTTTGTTTGGTTCGTTGTCAGGATCTGAACAACAGGCGGTCAGCATGTGGCTCCTTCGTCTGCTATTATTGTTTGGATTTCTCTTCTCATTGCCAGGCAAGTTGTAGAATAACTATGTGTTGAGACAAACCTGAAATAAATGATCTAACGGGCTAAAGGCACATTTTCATCGTTATCTTCAAAAGAACAAACTGAAAGAATCGAAGAGCTCATTTAGTCTGAACCTGTCCGAAACCCAGTCTAAAAAAAACTCCAAAAAAACTAGAACCAGGGAAATGTTTGGGCATTTTTAATCAAAAGTAATTTCAATTGATTAACTAATTCCAACACAGTCAACCCTGACAGTGACTCCAGATTACATTTAAACGCATCTCATTTGTTTTGCCAAATACATTTTGAGGAATAATTACACTGACATTCAGCCATACTCAGAATTCACCTTTAGGAGTGAGTATAAAATGGAGAAATATTTTGGCCACAATGGTTTTGAATGGAAAATACTATACATTGTAAAGACATGCATAAAGTAATATAACTAATATGACTGATAACTTGAATAACTGCTTCTCTTTCACAGATGCCGGGGGCTCATTCACTTCATAGATGACTCTGATGCAATGAAATAAATTGGATACAGTGAAACTTTAAGCAGTGTCCAGTACATCATTCAAAATCACTTCTATGTGTCTTGAAATGTTTGTTTGTTTTTCAATTGAGCAATTACATTATAAAAAATTATTACATTTAGCTGATACTTTTATCCAAAGCAACTTACAATTGCTATGTACGTCAGAGGTTGCACGCCTCTGGAGCAACCAGGGGTTAAGTCTCTTGCTCAGGGACACAATGGTGGATGTCTCACAGTGGGAATCGAACCTGGGTCTCCCCCACCAAAGGCAAGCATCTTATCTATGCGCCATCACAAAAATACAATTCATTTTTTGGCCATTAATATACTCTATGCTTATTATATCTCTTGATGCTGTTAAGTAAGATAACATGTTTGATTCAAAACTGCTAAAAAATTCCTTTCATGTTGCAATGGCTGATATATATGTAGTCTTAAACAATGAGATAATGCCATTTTTTGTGGCTGAATTCAAAAGAAAAATATCAAGAACATTATTAATTAGCACTGATTAATGGGAAAGACTGTGTCAATGGGAATATGCTATTAAAAAGACACCTTTACTTTATTCTTTAGAGTTTTTTTTTGGTGTATTTAAATTTTAATCCTAAAAAAAACAAACATTCTTATCTCCTTTGTTCATGAACAAATAGGATATTCATATTGCTGTTCTTTGGTTGAAGTAAGAGAGAGAGAAAGAGAGACATCCAGCAAAGGGACAGACTGTCTGCTATACTCTATTAAATCAGTATTGTTGCTATGGATGCGGCTCTAACAGCAAACCTGTCCGATGACAAGACTTGTTGGTATAGATGTGCTATATATTGACTTCAAGACTTCAAGTTAAATATTTAGTGAGCTTTCCTTTTTGTTAGCATTAGTCATTTCCAAATTTTGCAGTGTTAAATAGGCCTGCATTGTGGGAAGAAATGTTATGTAGAACACTGCTCAGCAACATTTGTTGAGAGAATGCGACGACATTGAATGGATCTTCGCTGCTGGAACACTTTGTGGTCATATGGTGCACTAACAAAAAATCCCCCTTTGCTGCTTTGGTTGGTTAAAAGTACGGGGGTTTATAGTAAATATTGACACTCCTTGGTGTGTACCAGTAAAAGGTCTGATGGACCAGGGCAAAACAAGGTGTGGCCTGGACTGTGAGGTGGCATGATGATGGTAGACTAGGGATGCACATTTATCTCATGAGAAGATTAAGCTGTAGTGAAGTGAAGCAACCATTTGCTTGTTAGAAGGTGGCTTACAAGATTGCCAGATTTTAATTTAACACAGCCAGAGTCATGTCCATTTAATCGACAAGGAATTTTCCAACCAAAAAGAAACTGAAGATTAAAATGGAGTCTCCAGTTGTGTTTGTTCTAATCCTGGTCACCATTACTTTTGCAGCAGGTAAGACTGAGTTATTTCTTAACTTGAATTAATCTTTATTTTTTTAAATTAAATTGACACTCTCAACCCAGACAATGACAATCACAGTCTATAGATCTTAATGGTAAAAAAACAACAACATTTTAACCAATTTTAAATGTGTTACTTAAAAACAATTTGTGTTTTTATAAGTACATTGACCAATATTTCGTGTGCACATGATAACTACATTTAAGGGTGACTGAATATTGTCTGTTCCTTGTTTTCTGTTTCTAGCTCCTGCACATAGCCAGAGTATATATGCCTCCACCAATCCATTACAAGTGGGCAGCACAGTCACAATTCGCAGTGACACCAATGTCACTATCGGCGCATGGATGTTCAACAGTGCTATCATTGTGATGGTATTCCCAGGAGCTTTCATCATGTCTAACGATTGGAAAGACAGGGTCACGTACAATCCAACCAATTTATCATTGACTATAATGTCACTACGGGTCGAAGACTCCGGATTGTACACATTAGAAGCCATAAATTCTTTTCATACTGAGTTAACACTGTCAGTCCGAGGTAAAGATCAATTTATCTCTTTTTTACGTTTACTCATATACTTTTTCTAATTCTACACACGCATATTAACAAAGCTCAATCTATGCACACACACATGCACACGCATGTAACAACAGATAGAAGATTGAGTCCTAGATTGGTCTCAGGTCTTTAGTTTCAATCTTCAAATTAAACAAATAGGACATTTTGACTGAAAATGTTTTTTCAATATGATAAAACCTTTTTACTGGTACAAATTTACATCACCAAACATGCATGGACACATATACAATAATTTCCACTACTGTCACACAGAGTTATCAGTTCAAATATAGACTCTTAGTCACCCAAACACAAGTCAAGTACAATCTAAAACAAGGGGTTTTTTTCTGTCTCTGAGGCTTAGGTTTTGTGGTGCTTTGAACTGAACTCTAATGTCAGTGTTCGCCATCTTAGTCTAGTGTGTTACCATACTACTGTTTCTATTTAGTACTAAAAAAATACTATCAGGTCAAGTATTTCAGTCTGGACCAAAGTGGTGGACTAACAATCCATACAGTCACAACACAAGGCCAATTTGAGTGTCAATTAGGTTTCAGTTGAAGTGAGATGAATTGCATTTCCACCTCTGCCTACTGTTGAGAGAGTTTACACAACATTGCCTGTCCACTGCAATCCCAAATTTCCACAAAATGTGACAAACGGCTTGTTATTGCCTTCTTTGCAGTGCCTATTTCATATGTGACAGTGAGGGCAAACACAACCAACCTGATGGAGTTAACTGACACAGCAGTTCTCATGTGCTCTGTGTCCAACGGCTCGTCCCCGTCTTATGCTTGGCTGAATGGCAGTTCTGTGATTACTGCCGGTGGGAGAGTACAGCTCAGCAATGGAGGCACCACTCTCACCATGGTCGGGGTGACCCGCTATGACCAGGGGCCATTCATGTGCAATGTGACCAATGGCATCAGCCATGCAATCAGTATCCCTGTACTTCTGAACATCAGCTGTAAGATTTAACTAAAGAAAGCTTTATCTCTCTCTCTCTCTCTCTCTCTAGATATATATATATATATATATACACACACATATATAGAGATATATATAGATGTAGATATATATCTAAATCGATATATATCTATATATATATGTGTGTGTGTGTGTATATATATATATATATATGACTATGTATTTAAAAAATATCCAATGTCTCAACATCAGCCAATAAAACAACTTCCCTTTTGTTGTTTCATCAGATGGTCCAAGTAACGCAAAAATCACAATCACGCCCATGCAGTACATCTACAGAAGAGGATCTAACATCACACTCTCATGTTCAGCGGAGTCCAACCCTCCAGCAGTGATCCAGTGGAGGGTTGATGGAACGTATCTAAATCAGTCTGGCACACAGCTTCAACTACAGAGTGTTACACAGAGCAACTCCGGAAATTACCAATGCTTAATTCACAACACAGTCAAATCCACGTTCACCAACGCAAGCGCAATGATCAGGATTTTGGGTAAGGTTGGATTTGTAGTATTTTAAAGGTAATGCATTATCTCTTCTTTTATTCTGTTTCTCTTAGCAAAGCCATTATTTTAATAAAGGTTGAGGTCAAGGGCAAAGTCCAGTTGCCCTTGGCTATCTGTGTTTCCAATAATTATGTTAAGATGAGCTAATGATCTGCTGACTGTAGCTTCATAAAGCCTACTGTATTTAATGGACAGAGAAAGAGAGTGGCATCAATCTTCTTATCTCAGCTCTCAAGATAACAAATTTATGTATGTATTTCACAAATTTTTAAATGTATTTATTCATCTAAATGAATAATGTATTTCCCAAAATGACAAACCATTGCTCCATTTGTGGTTTTGACATATACCATATTCACTCAACCCACATTCATTTGTGAATTTAAATTACTCAGTTTCTTTCTCCTCCCATAGACCCAATAGCAGCAGTTGTGGTGAATAATGCAGGTGGACCAGCAATACTAAATGAGCTGTTCATTCTGCATTGCGAAGTGACTGGTTCTGTTGACATGATTCAGTGGTGGAAGAATGGTCAACTTATATCTGCTGACAATACAACAGTCTTTGACATAAGCAACAAGACAATGATTCTCAACCCAGTCCAACAATCAGATGATGGAGATTATCAGTGTGAGGCTTTTAATTATGTGAGCAACATGATCAGCAGCCGCTATACAGTTAAAGTAAACTGTAAGTATTTTAATCTCTCTCTCTTTCTCTGCATAATGATATTTTGGACACCTCAAGTACTGTAGATACACAAAGAGCAGAAATATTGAAAAACTTAACCTTCTCCTTTTGTCTGGCATTAAAAGATGGCCCAATGAAACCAGTGATCACGGGGGTGTCTGTGGCTCTGGCAGGAACAAAGGAGATCCTCAACTGCTCAAGCGCGTCTTATCCTACCAGCCTCATCAGCTGGTATTTCAACGATTCCCTGCTGGCTACCACCTCAGAGTTAGCGATTGGACCTTTGACCTTAGACATGAGCGGGAAGTACATCTGCATAGCCTTCAACAACATCACCAAAATAAGCAGCTCTGCCTACACGATGCTCACTGTTTTGGGTAACTTACTGTATAGAAGTGGTTTGACATTTTGGGAGAAATGCTCGCTTGCTGGGAGGTAGCTTAGTTTAGGATGGAAGCGGGGTGAACACATAGCATGGCAACAAAATTCACCTACCAGCACCTCTAAAACGCAACTTCTCATATTTACACTTTGGTTTTTGTATGGATTAAACAAATGATATATAAAGAGTCTGGGTGCCTTAGAACAGTGATTGAAGTGGAAAATAATATGTGCCGGTCAAGTGGCACTGACAATCAACTTTATGCACAATATGAAAGGCACTTGATCCTTTACCTGCTCTGTCTCTGCCGACAGAGATTAGCAAGCAGGCGAGAACGGGAACAGGTGAGCGTCACATAGTGCCCAGAGTACCTGACATGGCGAGGGCCGAAAAGAGGACCGGCACCTTGTGAGAAGTGCCGGTACACAAGAAAATGTCTAGGTATGCCCAAGGGTAAAATGTAGAAGTGCCTGTACTGCGTACCGGTGAGTACTGGCCCACTTCAAGCCCTGCCTTAGAGGTAGTAGGCAAATTTTATAACACTTGGAAAAAGCAAGGCTAGCTGTCTTTATGCCATGTTACAACTCTGATATAAATTTTCTCATCTAAAGAAGGTAATATTTCCCAAAATGTCAAAACTGTCTTTTCACAAAGCTAGACATCACAATGTATCATATATATTATAGACTTGCTCTGCTTACTGTAATTTCCGCCCTGCTTTTATTCTCGGTCTTTCTACAGCTCCAGTGACCACAGTGTCAATAAAAATGGTCAGAGCTCATCCAGTCCTGAACCACACCTTCACCCTAACCTGTGACTCAGCTGGACACGTCCATTCAGTTATCTGGATGCATAATTTATCCCCACTGTATCCTGACAACACAAGAAACTTCTCAATAGACAACGCCACCCTCACCTTTGATCCTATCTTGCACTCTGACAATGGGAGCTATCAGTGTGAAGCTTCCAACACATTCAGCAAATCAACCAGTGAAATCTTCAAACTGGATGTTGTTTGTAAGTACTCAGCATGCAGTTTACCCTAAACCCCTATCCCCTTTTGAGGGTTTTTTCCAACTGTTAAACAAAAGGCATTTGTAAGAAAAATGGTTTCAACCAAAACCAAAGAAGACTTGCACCCTCAAACACTTTAAAAAAACCCTGTTCTGGTCACATACAGAATAGATGTGGCCACATCTAGTAGATTCATCACAAAATACAGACCGATATGGAGGTGGACTTCTCCATTAGTACACAGTTCTGTGTTGAATAAATGTCTTGACAGTCATTTGAACATGTTTTCAATGAAGGTGATTTAAGTTAATATCCATGTGTTTAGATGGACCTGATATGCCAACTATCACAGGACCAAATGTGGCAAGGACAGGAGACAATGTTACACTGAGCTGCTACGCACCATCAAACCCTCTCAGCTTCTACAGTTGGCTCTTCAACGGCTCTCTAGTGGCGAATACGTCTCAGTATGTCACACCTCCTCTTACCATAGCCACATGTGGAATATACACGTGCATGGCCTACAACAACATCACTGGAAAAAACAGTACCGCACACAGAATGCTTACTGTTGTTGGTGAGACTTGGATGGCTATTTTTTTTTCTGTAAAAAAATGTACTTATGTGCAAATGGGAAAGCTGGATCATGTGAGAAATAAAAAACTGTTATGGATTTCTACTTTGTTTTCAGATTCAATAATAGATGTACAAGTACAAGCATCAATGGATTATGCTATAGAAAGTAATTTCTATATGCTGAAATGCAATGTGACTGGACCCGCTGAGCATGTTAACTGGATGAAAAATGGTGAGCCACTGCAAGAAGACAACAGAACTGCTATCAACATGGCCAATGCAACAGTCACCTTCAGCCCACTAGAAACCACTGATACTGGATACTACCAGTGTATGGCTATTAATGCTTTTGACAACAAGACCAGCCCTCCATACAAGCTCCGTGTCAATTGTGAGTAACATTTAAAGGATTTATGTCACTCTAAGTGACTATTTTAAACTGACAATTTTATACACTGTAGTGCATCATCCCACATTTAAATAAATACTGTAGCATGAGAGCCTACCGTCTCTTTTGCTGTTGCAGTTGGACCAAGAACACCCACCATTGACGGGCCAGCTTTTGCGGAGAAAGGAAATTCTGCAATCTTCCAGTGTTCTGCCATGTCAATACCTCCCAGTCAGTTCAGCTGGTGGTTCAATGGCTCCATTGTGGCCAATACATCATTGTTTAAAACTGGCCCTTTGTCGTTCAATATGAGTGGAGAATACACCTGTATGGCCTACAATTATTTGACAGGAAAGAACAGCACAACATCCAAGATGCTCACAGTCATTGGTAAGAAAACTTGATGTTGGGTTTAAGTTTTCAGTGCATGTCATGTGACTGTAAAGTGAACAAATACTGATTTCTATTGTGTTTTTTGTCCACAGGGGTTATAGAGTCAGTGGTGATCAGAAACAACACAGTTCCAATAAACTTTAATATCTTCACTCTGACATGTCAAGTTACTGGGCCGTATGACAAGATCTACTGGATGAAGAACAACATGCCCCTCAACATGAACACCCCCACAGCCTACCACGCTAAAAACAATGTGCTGTGCTTCACTCCAGTGACAACGAACAATGACGGGATATATCAGTGTGTCGCTGTCAATCAGGGGTTTTCACATTACAGCCCCCAATACATTCTCCTGGTGAACTGTGAGTGTTTTTGGAAACAATGGAGTGTTTTTTCTTTTTGTTTTATGATGCATGATGACTGTAGTATTAAATCCCTTAAAACAATTTCTTAAAGGAAAAAACGAGTACATAATTTAACATTTTGGATCATTTGGGTGTATGATCCGGTATAATACGCTTACCTCAACTCCTCAATATCTGCTCCTACCTGTACCAGTGATAATGACTCACACAAGATGATCATAGGACTACGTGAATTTTTACAAAAAAGCAGTAAATGTAAACAGTTTTACTTAGATTAAATGATTGGAAGTTCAGCAAAATGTGAAAAAAGTAAATGGGCAAAAAGTAATATTTACTATAACAGTAACAACAGTTTGTGTTTAACTAGAAATGCCTGAATGTGTTTTGGAAAGCTCTCCAAATTCTGCTCAGACCAAATATAGACATTTTGTGCCAAAGCAACACAATAGTCATCATTTTACTTTACATAAATCTGATCAACTGTCTCTGTGTGATTGCAGATGGCCCTCTGAGTGTGAATATCTACGGTCCAAATTCAGCAGAGGTTGGCAGCTCCGTGTCCCTGAACTGCTCTGCTACTTGTCAGCCAGATTGTGTCCTCTCCTGGTTCTTCAACAAGCAGTCATCAAAACCTCTAAAGACGGGCTCTGTTTTCACTTTCTCTGTGGCAAAAAAGAATCAGGGGAACTACATCTGTATGGCAAACAACCTTGTGACTAACATCACAAAGTACCAGACTAAAGCCGTTACTGTTACTGGTGAGTGTGCCTTTGCTCTCCTTATTTTTGACGTGGTGACTGCAGTATGTCCATAATAATCTTCTTTAATTGTTGTTCACAAGCAAAGTATAAATGAAACATGATCCAAAGTTTTGATGCGATAATTTCAAAATGTTTTGTTATTGTTATTTTCAAAAAAATAAAAAAATAAAATCTGTCCGGAGCCGCAAAACAAATTTGAACCTTATGATAAACACAGCCTATTAAGTCTAAATTATCCCCATAACATAAATAGGCCTAAATGAGCATTCAGTAATATGTTTTATCACAAGGTGGTTACTCTGCAGTGGGATATTTATGATTATTTAGTACTTTAACTTTGCATTACCAGTACAATAATACCATGTTTTGTTTAATTTATAAAATTATAGAACTACAATAAAGAAAAGTGTTCACATGTTTTGTTATTTCTATTAGGGGATGCTATTACCAACAAAACACAAAACTGAACAATTGTAAAGGCCTATTTTGAAATGGAGTAGCTTTAAAGAGCTACACAGGCTCTTTACAGCTACTCTATTTGTGCAAATTAATAAAATGAAACATAGCCTAATTTGATAATTAATACCACATATGGCCTAGCTTTTAGAAATAGTAAAAGTATAAAAGAAAGGCCAGTTTCAGTGCCAGGTCATCCTTTTTTTTTTTCTCAGCCACATACATCAAATAACCCTTGGACTTGAGTATGAAACACAACAATATCACGGTCAATGAATTCATTGTCAAAATCACAACTTGGTAAAACAGATACTTTGTTGCAAAACAAAGGATAGCGTTCTTGCCTGTTTAATGCGATTTCTGTTTCTGGACATCACCACAGATCTCCTCGATATCAGAGATGTAAGTTTGAGCTGCACATAAGACTGCAGCTCTTGTCTGTGAGGGGAGCGATATTTGGATTTTATGTAGTTCATACTTGGGAAAACCTGCTTGCACAAACCTGCTCAGGTTCATATAATTGCCGGAAATAGAATTCCATGTTTCAAACACAAGTTTGTTGGGTTTTGGGAGGTTTTTAACATCGCTTCATTTGTGGTTTTGAGCGAGGTGGCTTTCAGATGGCGCAACATCATCAGCTCGGCTTTTGGAGACTCACAAGTCTTTGTCAGCTATGTTGACCAGTTCAATTTCGAGGTCTTGTTGACTTACTCCTGCGAATGCCAAAGTTCAACCGGGATGGGTCAATGTCCAGGGGTGTGACAGGGAAGCATAATGTAGCTTTTTTTCTCTTTCCCTAAATGCAGTTTTCATTCCAGTGATCACAAGCTGTAAACAATCATAATTGATGTGATTGTGTCCTTCTTTATACTCTCTCAGGGAGGGGAAGTGAGAGAGTGAGCCTCTCTGTAGGCTACAATGCTATTAACACTATCAACTTGCACTCAAGAACTAAAACAATCTTACAGCATCTGCTGAGCCGTTCTTCCATTTCCCTGGAGACTTTTGTTCAGTGCGTTCAGGTGACTTGTCAAAACCGTTTCAGGACCTCCTCACTGGAAAGCCACTGGACTTTATTGTGCAGCAGGCAGGGGCGTTGCACAAAAATCTGGGCCCTGTACATAAGTATATTCTATGTGCCCCTCCCCGCATCCACAGCTATTCGTTCTACTGGAAGGATAACAGTCTTCCAGGGGTCTTGTTTACTTGTTTGGCTTTAAACAGTTCACAACAGCCTTGAAAATATCCTTTCCCCGTGTTTGGCCTTTCAGCATTTTAAAATCAATGGTTTCTTCCTGCAGCCAATCCGCATAAGAACTGTCTGCATACTGCTCACATGCCTTGACTGATTGCAGGTAACTGACTATGCTGGAGCAGAACTGATCACCAGTCGATTTGTTGCCAGGTGATGTTTGTTGCCATGGCCCTGTCTTTATGAAGAGGAGCATAACTTTAATTTTCTGAACTAGCCCATGTCAGAATATGCTCTGATATTTTAATGAGTGATTCTTCAATGTATTCACCGTTCATGAATGGCTTCGATCCACTTGAAAGTACATTTGCTCTGCTCTGCTTTTCACAGCACTCCCACAATCTCTCTCTTTTTCTCATCCCCAGCTGGATATTTTTCAACAAATGCAGTGTGCTTCTTCTGCCTTTCAATAGGCATTACTTTTTTGTTGTTGTTTGCAAATGTCTCTCCATTAGACATTTTTACAAATGGAGAATGTAAGAATCACCTAGGCCTACAATAATTCTAAATGAAAACATCCAAAAAAAAACAAACTTTCATTTCCATATAATTTTTGTCAAAGCCACAGGGAGCGATGGGAGAGATGATAAAAAGCCGAATAAGGCTCCGGAGTCACATGAATGCTGTTGAAACGCCATCAGAATAGGTGCTATACTATACACTATCTCATGTTATATTATCTCATTGTCTCACTAAATATAACTTTCTTCTCACTTCAGAAGAGATTTTCTTTCTTCATTTGTCATTATTTCTGTCCCTCTCTCCCTCTTAGATCACGCCCCCACCCTCCACATCCCATATCAAGGCAGTCTGATGATGATGGGTCTGTTTGCTTTGTCGGTCACTGTGCTATTAAACTGAGACCTTCACAGTTGCACTCCCTACAGTCAACAATCTCACTGTGAAATGAATGGGAAAACTTTTATCTAAGTTACAGTTTGCTGTTTGATTTCCTTTAATTAGATTTATTTTCACTAATGTACAACAACGAATAATAACATTTACACTGGCAGTGAAATCGGCAGATATTATTATTAGGATATTGTTATTATTATTGCACTGCTTGTTTGGGGATTTTAGGTCAAATGTTATCATTAAGTAGTTTTGTTAGTGTGGTGGCTGTTATTGTTTCTGCCCTAGAGCCAGTTAAATAAAAAATACTTAAGTGCATTTGCATAGTAAACAAGGGGAAACACTGCAATGTGTTCCTCTGACTTTTCATACTCTTTTGGTACAAATTGCAGTTCTTCACTGTGAACACTTTTTTTCTGTTATGCATGATAACATAATATAAAATGTAAGTCTAATTATGCTTTGATGATTGTTCTTAATCAATAAAAAAATCAACACAGACAATTTTGTATGGACTTTATTAAAGATGATACAGTGTTTTTGTGCTGATTCAGAAAGTTACAGCCGTGCAAACTTTTGTTAATATCTTTAACACTTAAAAAAAAAATTACATGACTCTTTACTCTGTTGTATAGAAAGAAATATAAATGAAAGTGATCATTGCATAAACATCACACCATCATACATAGTATACATGCATATATATATAGATAAATGTGTGTGTATATATATATATATATATAAGGAGTGTTTCCTAGTGTTGTTCATATGGGGGTACTGGGACCTAAGTTCCTGATGCACTTCTTCAGATTCCCTTTGTTTTTCTTCTGGCACTTTATCCATTTATCCATATTCACTAAATCCAGACCAATACAGCAAAAGGGGGGAAACATTATTAAATTTACTATCCAAAATATTTAAAAATCTGAAAATGACACTTTTAATGAGTCCATAAATGTATAATCTTTCAGTTTAATGCAGGGGAATATTCTGAATCCAAGACTATAGGTAACTCACACTTTCCATGCTTGCCAGACCGCTTACAAGAACATGTATTCATCATCTTTCTTCCCTTTCCTGGATGACCCAAATATACAAGTATAAAAGAGTAGAGAGGGTTAGGATAATGCACTCAGCTAATACTCATAAGGTGTGCATTTTGTTTACTGTATACCTTTGTTAGGGCTTCTTTGTCCTTCACATTTACACTTTATGTTGTGCTGTCTTGGAGTGTTGATTGGATTTGCAGTTGTCAATGACTGTCCAACAGCAGAGGCTATAGACAAAAAAGAAGATTAATAATTACAATTATTTAATTGGGTAATGCAAATTCAAAATAATCTTGTATAAAATGTGTTTTACATATTAATCTCACATACCATCAGTGAATGTGCTGGTAATTGAGGACTTTTCATGTGTCTCAGGTACACCTTAGACAAATTTTAGAAAAACACACAATAAAATGCACAGGATGTAAACTTTGTAATGAGTTTTAAATGTAACTCATGATATTGTCTAATTCTGATAAAGTATACAATACCTTGGCTGTGATCAGTAAATAGAAGCAGCACAACAACCAACAGCAAAAGTGTCCTTGATCCCATGTTATATAGTAAACCCAAAACAATACAGCTAAGTCGAAAAGAAAAAAATCCAGCGTGTGCACTAACTTCAGTCCCAGTGAGAGAATGAAATGGTTATTTTTGTTGTGGCTCCTTATAAAGGATGGTGTTGATGTCTGAAATTTAAGCCGTGGAACATTCATCAACTGCTAGTTATATGAACCATGTCTTGCCCAACCAGCGCCTTAATAGTGGGTGGCATGAATAAAAGGAAATAAATGCCTTTGCCAAGAAGATAACGAATTGAAGTTTTGAGTAATCGCTCATTCTCGTGAGAAAGTGAAGGACAAACATGAAACTGACCTGCACTCAAAGAGTATTTAAAGGTCAGATGGCCCCAGTCTTGTTATTATGTGAGCAACCTATTATCATATGATCTTACTTTGAATAGTTAACAGTGTCTCATACACATTTTTAGTTTTATGCTTTTTCTTACTGATCCAAGTTGAGTTCCCTTTTATCTTCACTATGCATCCTACTGCTTGTGCTTGACGTACAACACATTGTGAATTATAAACATTATTTACTGGCTAAAGCATTTCATGCTATATAGACAAGCTTACAATTGAGCACAAGCATGTGTGCTTATTATCAGCCCTATCAACACCACTACGGATACGCCAATAACTATCACATGTAAGATCATGCTTGCTATGATCTGGGCAACAGCCAGAATTGTAAGTATAAGTTATATTATGTTCGACAACTGTTGGAAGAACTGTTGAACTTGGAATGATGATGAGGTTGGATGCTGGTTAAGGGCAAAGCGAGACTTGTTCACCCTCCTCAAATTTCAGAAACACAGCTCTATGCTCACAACCAAGTCTAAGGCCGGAACAAAACCAGTCAACCAAAAGCAATAAATCTTTTGTCGACCTAATCTGTGTATGTGTACTCTAAATGAATGTGTTCATTAGTGATGGGTCTTGAGGCCTAAAAATTGTGCACTGCATCAGTGGCAATCAATGTCTCATACTCAGTACCAGCACATAGATCACATCAATCAATCAAGGGACAGTGAAACCATCTTGTTCTCATATTTAATGCATTCTTTCATCACTTACACAATCAGGCACTCTGAAGCATAATTCAAGTTCTGCAGCACAATCCTTATCCAAGAGGTTCAGAAGCATTTTAGTGTGAAATAAAGCCTTTTTAGGTGGTCTGATGGGACATTATGTAGCAGATGAGATTAAACTTGAAGCACAAGCAACTTTAGATATATCTATACAACTTCACAACCTACCCAAATACATTTATGATTGCAACAATGCAAAGACTCTTATGTCAAACTCTGATACTGTTACAATAGGTGGAGCAATAAGGTACAATAATGAGACAATATGTGACATGATAAAAAGCAAGTAGACAGTAATGGTCGATCAAAAACATTTGGTCATTCAAATTAACATATACAAAAGACATCAGACGTCACAACACAGAAAATAAAGCTATTGAAAGAATACGTTACTCACGGAACTTAGTGAAACTGAGGAACAAAATAACAAATTACAGCAATTCCTGGTAAGGGCTTAGTTATTGTAATTCTTATCTTTGTTTTACCAGATATACACTGGCACCTAAAGAGCCAATGTCTCACATCCTTCCCAACTGGTTCCTGTTCCAGGAGCCTAAGGCATGCATCTTCTGAAAAGCAGATATTCTAAGGTAAATTAGGCTGCAATAGTCTCATGAGAGCTGTAGCGGAAGGGATGAGGAGCTACTAAGAAGCTACTAATGTTTTGACCTATACAGCGTATATTTTTAGAGTAAAAAGTTGATGGATCTTTTAAAAGCTTTATTCATAACTACTTGACTTACGTGTTTAACAGTGTCTTCCATTGTCATCCCTTCAGATGTCATTTCATTGTTCTTGTTGAGTCGCTGGCTCTGATCCCGATCGTTGACACACGGGGAATTCCGCTGATCAGATTTATCATTTGTATCAGGTGGTAAAGAAGTGAAATAATCCTTCTATAGAAAAACACTTTGAGAACCAAAAGCTCGTGGAACATTTGCTTACTGGGAATTGAGGCAGGACTTTGTCTCTCTATAGCACAGCACATTTAATTTCTTACTGTATCATAAACACACAAAACTTTATGTATCTGTAACAGTGGTCACCAACCCTGGCCATGAAGAGGACTTAGAGCTCTTAGCCCCTAATAATTGATTCTAGCCATCATTCAAGGTGTTAATTAGCTGAGTATGATGCTCTCTGGAAACAGGGATAAGGACCACTGTGGTAGTGTTAGTTTGTGCCCTGGTTGCTCAGTTCTCAGCTGGCTTATCTAGCATGGACTTTAGATGGGCATGCAGGGGTTCACACACAGCCTGGTAGCCCTGAGGGGTCAGATGAAGGTAATCGTACATGTCCTGATGGGAGATGCTACCATTGGAGTGGACGAAGCCTGGGTCCACATTTAAGAAGGAGGCGTGGGGGAGGGACGATACGGCCTCCTGGACCAGCTGGTTCACCTTGGCATTTCGGTCTCGCAGAGGGTTTGGCAATTTACCTCTGGGCAGTACACCCTGGAAAACAGATGTACGGATGTCATTTTTAAAAAGGTCAAACACTCCTTCACATTCTTAATATTCTTGGATGTATAAATGAATCAATGTAAAAACTGTTGATAAAATAAAAATTAAGTTTGTAGTCCAACCAAACAAACTGCAAGTTCACATGTAGTTCATCTCAGCCTCCTCCTAAACAAGTAAGGGCTTTTAAATACAGCGTGAAAAGAAGCATATCTCGAAACAGTTCACACTCAATCAAACTCCTTTTTCTATTGTCTATTGTTTACCTAACCTTCACACAGCTTAAAAGGAGCTAAAAGGGGTGACTGTGCAGTCACTGTGCAGTTTGATGGTTGTCAGAACTTCATCTGTCATTTTAAACGGACACGAAGGTTAGTATATTAACACTTCCTTTAAGGAACGTATCAGAAATAACCTACAAGTACAAGCGTCCGGGCATGGGGGAGCTTGTTCTTGATGACTTGGATAATAGCCATAATGCCTCCACAGATCTGTTCCGCAGTATGACCATGATTGTTAGTGCCTACCCACAGCACTACAACCTACAACAGTAAAAGAGAAAAGAATCTTGACTGAATGCATGCCATTTATAGATTAGGGTCAATAAAGCTGGAATTCAGATTGTAGCACAAAGATGAGCACAATGAGTCTACTGATGGAATAAACAAGCACTATCATGTTCTCTATTTCTGGCAGAGATTTGGACCTTTGGGCTGATGTTATCCAGTTCGCCGTTGCTCAGTCTCCACAGCACGTGTTGTGTTGCATCACCACCCACCCCAAAATTGAGGGCATGGAGAGGAGAGAACAGCTGCCGCCATATCTGCAGAGGAAACACAAACAACAAAGCATAAACACTCAGTTCACACAATTTGAAAGTGCATATTGGTGTCAGTGAGAAGCTATCAAACACTGTATACAGAGTGAGAAGCTATCAAACACTGTATACAGAACCAGACACAGGGAAGTGTGTGAGCTATGTTTTACCCCAAACTGGTGCATGAGCTGAATAAGAGAGTCTCCAACAAACAGGACATCAGGTTCTTTGTCTTTGCTGTCAGACACGAAACGGTTGTGCTACAAAGAGAAAAGGGCAAATATACATACTTTTATATTCTTTACAGTTCAGTATTAAGTATCCCAGTAGATACAGCATCATAGGCTACTCTGGAAAGTGAGGGACAGTTCAGCTGAACATAGCCAAAACATTTTTTATGGAAACTTTCAATGACAAATGCAGACACACATTCAAAAAATGTCTTTTGTATATTAGATTTTTTGTATTTATTTAGATAGGGAAACTGGAAGACATTAGCTTGAATACTAGATAAAAGACTGTATTAATGGATCAAATGTCAGTGCATATTGACATGTCAATCGGACCAATCTTATGTACAAAACACTATGACAACACAGTTATATGTCATCAAAATGACAACTAATGAATTATTTATCTTGTTGTTTTTTACTGTTAAATTCACAAAGCTGAACATGAGTGACAATACAGATTGGAAAGACCTGACAATTCATGGCTGTAGCTATGTAAAACCCAGGGAACAAATAGAAAACTCATAATAATATTATTATTTCACACACCAGAGACATCCATCGTCCATCTCCCTGGAGGTCTTCACAGGGAGTGGGTGTGGCGGCTGGGTTTGGGTCTTCTGCACTCATGACTTGGCTCTATCTGTTTTGGGAAAGCAGTCACGTAGGGTATTTGGTACTTTTTACAACAGAAACAAACCGATAAATCGAAATCCTGTAGCTATAATTGCTACCTAAATCTAAAAAGCCTGGTAAAATTAACTGCTAGCCACAGTAACGTTAGCTATAGCCTACTTGCTGAAACACAGGATAGATGCACCGTTAGTTTAACAGAGATACCGGCCACGCACTAGTCACACAAATTGTTATTAACGTTAAATTATGCAAGCCTGTGTTCTGCTAAAGGAAAAAGATATAGCTTTATATAACGGCTACATTCAGAGATATGGTTTACCATAGGCTACCATGAAATCAAAAAATCGTCATCTCCAATTGAGTTTCAGGAAGTAAATTTTCATTATAGTTGCATGTACCATTTTTCTCCATGGGCAACATATGTTTTCATGTATTTTAGAACCGTTCGACACTTTATTATTACTACACGCTTAACGTTTAATTTTAAAACATACCGTATGACGAAATGACAAACGAAGCATTGTTCAAGTGAAGAAGAAAATGTAAAATATGCGACAGTTTTACCTCCTCCTCTGTGTAAGTGGATTCGCCCTGCCCGTTGGTGTTCGTGGGAGTCGGTGTTGCGCGAAGAAACACGTCTGCGCCATGTTACCCAGCAACGACAGATTTGCAAGCGACAAAAAAAAACGACTGCGGACAATTTCGGTAAGCAGCGCTGTTAGTTAATGATTTGAAGTTTGTACAAAAATGTTTATTGACATTTTTGCAGTTTGTCTCGCATGCCTAAAGTTAAAGTTAGTTACTACATTTCTTAGCAGCTACAGCTGAATACTGTAACTTCATACACGTGTGCTTTAAGTTAAAGTGCACCTGCTTGTTGACGTTATTACCACCTGTGTGCTAACCGCCTAACTAGCTAGCTAACAGGTAAATCCAAATGGCAGGTTTCTGGAACCGCAGGCGCCGCTGTTGCATGGATGTATTCACACTGCTAAAAGTGGTTGTTGTAATTAATATTTTTAATATTATTCAGTTCTTAAAGGGGTGTGAGGGAAAGGCCTCACAATATTTGGATGTTTATATTTTTGACAGGTGCAGTGGGGTCACATTTGCTGATGGCCTGTGTCGGAAATGTTGACCTGTCTTCTGCTTTGCCTCTGGTGACCCATGATAGGCTTATTTTACCATAATTTAACTTTTTTCACCCCATTTCAAGATACAGTCCGATCACATTTTCTGATGGAATGTGTCAAATATTATAACCCCGAGGCATGTTCTTGACTTGTCAGTTAGCTTCATATTAGTCTTTTTCTGGACTTGTGTGAAATGACTCATGTATGTTTTCATATATATATATATATATATATATGTGTGTCTCTCTCTCACAAACACATTGAAACAGAGCCATGTGTTTATAGAAAAACTAATGCATTCAAGTTAATTCTGAGAAGTTATCTCTTTTCTTAACACAACACTGTCAGTGTCGAAGACCCACCTTCCAATAAGTTATATGCAAACATGTAAGGTGCCTAGCTAATAAGGATAGTAGTGCTGAAACGATTCATCGATTAAAACGATTAATTCGATTACTAAAAAGCATTGACGCAAATGCACCACCGCTGCCAAGCAAAATTACTTCTTAATCGATGCATCGATGAATTGATTAAACAATGTGTAGAAGCTTTGAGTACTAAAATTATTGTTGGCTGCAGACCTAAAGGATAGCTAGGTTAGTTTGAATGTATTGTGGAACTGTGAGTCCTGAGAACTTGTGAGAGACATGTCACAGAGACAAGGACACAGTTCACAAGTCCAGAGGGTCAACATTTGTATTCAGCCACTGTCATTGAAACATTATAAATTTGCTTGACAATCTAGTAATAGAGTTGACCTCAATGAGGTCCAGCAGCATCCTGTCAAGGTTATCTGGCTCTGTTATATCTATTTCCTACAGGCTTACACGTGACTAACTGCAGTTATCTTTCTACAGATGCCTGGTGCAGCATGAGCTGTGTGTAACAGACAAAGAAAAGATCCTAAATGTCTTCAACAAGCAAATTAAAAATAACAGATGAAAACTGTGGATCAGTGAACAGATTCACTGCAGACTGCAGGTATTTCAGTCATTACAGTAAGACAGATGAGCAGCACAAAATGAAGCGACTGAAAAGCCGCAAGGAGAGGAGTCAGATGAGAGGTGGTGGGAAAGAAGTGTCAATGTCCAAATATCACCATCACTGTTGTCGCCAAAGCAGTAAAGACATGGGACATTTGCGTAACTTCTGTCATAATAGCTGTCATTGTCCTTCACGGAGAGGTGTGCTGTTTCCAAATGTCATTCCTGTCAGACAGGAGCCGAGTATCATCACTGACACTCGCCTGATAGGACACCGTGGCCTGTTCAACCATGAGGTGAAGTCTATCGACATTGAGCGCTTGTTAAGTGAGCAGAGGAAGCTGGGGGAAAAAGGACATCAAGTACAAGAAAAGAACAAGGCTACTTCACGCCCATCTCACATTCCTTCTCCAATCTCCATAAATGATTTGTCGGGTGCTGATGCTGATGAGGTTGTGCCATTTGAAAAAAGTGCAGAACCTGCTACGAAGGCCTATGCTGACTCCCGGGAGAAAGAGAAGGAAATCAGTCAGGGATCAGATGTAACACCAGGGCAGAGACAGCAACAACTTGATATTTCATCTGGAGGTTTTGAAAGTATTGTCTCATCTAAACACAGCTCCGTTGATGTTATGATAATCAAGAGCATGAAGACCAACCCTGTCGTCTTTGAAAAGGACAGCGAGTCACAGCTGACTCCCACTGTTGGCACAGAAAATGTAAAGACATTAAACAAGAAGGTAAAGGGACAAAATATGTCTGCTCTGGAGCAAAGAACCCCAAAGAACCAGGTGTCTCCTATCCACCAAACGCAGGCTCATGGTCTGAGCCCAAGCCCACTTCAGCTCTCCAGCACACACACTGCTGACAGCTTTGACATACAGCACAGAAAACAAGATCCCTACTGTGTATCTAAATCTGTTAGTGCAGTGGCAGCAGGTTTGTGTGATAGTCTGCAGTTCCCACTTCTGAGAAGGAGAAACCTTGTGGCAGAGAGCAGGGGGGTGCTGTTGAAAGCTCTACAGGAGAGGCATGGACCCAGACTTCAGGAGAACCTCCTCCAGGTGCAGCGATGCCTCAGCTTTGGTCCAGGTCCTGCAAAGGAAGTCCAGGATCAGGAGCCTGCCATGGTAGATGAAGATGAGCTCTTTCCTACAGGTAGGAACTGAAATACTAGAGTTCTCTGGGATTCTCATCATAAAAAAGGAAATATGATGATTTGTTAAACATAATTGTTCTTTTTAAGTCATGATTAAATGTTACTTAGGATTACATTTAAAAAAATAAGGAAATAAATAAAATAAGGATTATTACATTCATTGCTGTATACCAAGTGTGTATTCTTGAGCCTGACAAAAGTGTGCAAAAGTGATTTTTTTGAAAAATCTAATTGCGGTTTCTGCCAGATATTGTGATTATGATTCAATTTGTGATTTTTTTTAAATTGAAGTTTTGCTAATGTTCAGTGTTCACTGCCAGTCTATTTTTGACTAAAGCTGCGTCAAGCAGCACAGAGCAGATGAACCTGACAGGAAGTCAGACACAGAATGGCATAGAATCCAGTCGATTTTCAAAATAAATCACCCTTTATAGACTGTATATCAACAATAAACACAGTTAAAACAGACCAGAAAAAAAGACACAATTTAACTATGTTTCGATTCGAAAACGATTAATCGTTCAGCACTATTTTAAATAATATACTACTATGTAGTACTACTAGATATGGTAAGAAGAACAGTATTCTTGCCTTTGTTAGAGCATTACTTTGTTTATGTGCACGTCAACACCGACAGCTATAAATTATTGGGAATACCAATAAGTTCATTGTGTCTTTTACAGTACTCATACATTTTGTTACATCCTGGGAGGGTTGGCTCATCTGCGCTGACATACCAAAGTAAATGAAGAATATCTCAAAAATGTAGTGCAAGTGTGATCAGTGACAGATAACAGGAAAATGTAAGCTCACTGTTTCTACACCTCAGTACATTATAAACCACGTAACACATAAAGTTTACAAAGGCATTGGCTGGTGAGGATCAAGGCTCCTCTCCACCTTGTTCAATTAGATAAGCATGCAAATCTTACCAAAATGTCTGTGGTTTCTAATTGTATTTAAAAAAAAAAAGTAGTACTAATAGCCATAATTTTAGCTTGTGGTAAAACAGTGCAATGTTTTTAATGGGCAATTACCCTGCGAATTATCAAATTATACATTTGTGTTCACAGCAGCGTAGCAATATCCCACAAACAAATACATATTTTTTTAATACAAATTCTGAATGCATTATTGGTCACTTGATAGGCACATGGTCTTGTTATCATAATGCTATTAGCAGTAAAAATAAAGTAGTTGAAAACATTTGTCCTGCATCAGAGCTCTCCATCTGGGAAAATTCACAATTATATCCTTGATTTCATCTGTCTGCATAAGTCCCGACTTCGTCTGGCTTCATTGTGTTTTTGCGTATTTGACGGCGAAGATCCAGACACTGTCGTTCTAAATGATACCTGTGCTCCTTTATTTGTCCAAATTTTTATTGTCTTATTACTTCTAATAAACCAGATGACTACTCAGAGACTATTTATTATTATTATTATTATTATTATTATTTCCTCTTCTTCTTGTACGCATTCAACGTACTGACGAGTGTCTGTCTGTCCATTTTCGGCTAAACATGGCGACCTCAATGTAAGGTGGAGCGCGGTTATGTAGATATAAATGCCTCATTCTAAGGTAATAAAATAATTAAAAAACAGTTTATTATGTAAGGTCTTTATACACCACTGAAAACATAGTAATGAATCTCATATTGCATTTCTTTCAATAAATCCTCAGAAATATTAGACACTGAACCGAAACCTGAACTGAGGATAGCTTTACTATTTTAAGTCTGTAGTCAGGTGTCCATATGAATAATGTTCATTAAAATAGTTCTTTCTTGCTTTAATCCGTCCTTAATATGAGGCTTCCGATATCACTAGAATTACTTTTTAGTACTAAATTCCCTTTCCTAGTACCAATTTAAAATTGTGAACCTATCGTTTAAAGTGGCCATTTGTGTGGATTTGAACTAGCACCACAGTAGCATGGATTCACTTCACTCCATACAGTAAATATGTTTTTGTTTCTAAAAAGCAGTAGTAAGTACTGCATGCAATATAGTTTATGTGCAGAGTTTCAGCTGTGACTTCCTCTTTTTAGATGCCATCACAAGAGCATTCCAAGCCAACACTGGTAGTCAGCCATGTTTTGACACCAAGGAAACCACATCTTTCAAAAAGAAGGGAAGTAGGCATTTTAACTGGAAGTCCAGTCCACAGCCACATCCAAACCTGAAACAGGTAAGAATTCAAGTTTCCTCTGAATTATTTAAGTTAATTTCAACATATGGCCCAGCTGTTATTATCCCTTTATTAATCCTCAGATAATTTAAAATTACATTATTCTGGAATAAAATGCTTTCTGGTTTTCATATTCAGACTGCTGAATGGTTGACACGGACTGTGGAAACGTCTGCCAGTCTTTTGCATGATATCCTCAGACCTTCTTGCTCTCCTGAATTCTGTATGGACTTTGAGCCCTCTGGAGTCACAGCCATCAGTGATTTGTTCGCTCCCTCTCCCACCTCATTCTCAGGAGAAAAAGCCTCAGTGTCTCAGCACTGGGGAGACAGTTTTAACAAACCAAAGAACAACAAGGCTGCTATGTTTGGTTTTTTTGAAAACAGCTTAATGAACCGCACCAGAGTATTTCCAGACAGGAGCAGCGGTTCACGATACAGTGACAGCAGCATCCAGCCGTTCTTTCCTTACCAAGCACAGCTGTCACATAGACAATCAGCAAAGCCGATGCATTTACCCCAGAAGCAAAACCCTTTTGAAACTGACAGGTACGCTTTTGCTTCCTCTTTCTCTGCCCAAATTCACTATCCTCAGCAGAGCAACCACTTCCAGCCTTTCAGCCAATTCAGTCATCCTTCAACTTGCCCTCCGCTCAGGTCCCACCACACTGACATGATGCACTACCCCCCATCTCACATGCTTGAAAAAGACCCAGCACCTCCCTCTCCTTATTTCCCGAGCCCCGAGCACTGGTCATTCCCTCCTATGAGACTGTACTAATGTGTGGTGATTCTCTGTCTGTGGACATTTGTTTGGCTAACTAAAAACATTGCCTTCTTAATTAATTTCATGAAGACTTTGTTCCCAATCAGCAGAGATATGTCTTGTGCCCATATTCTATTAAACACATATGTAATAGCAATAGCTGTCATCTCAAGAGTTCCCTCTTTTAGTCTCCCATTTATGCTGACATAAAGAAACACACAATTATGAATTGTTTGCATTTTTTGGAGCATTCTTTAATATGCAGAACTATATATTAACAAATATCTTCTTTAACACAGATGCTATAATGGGAAATTCTTTACAGACCAATAATAGTCTTTGAAAGCTCTTTGATATTTTGTGGCACAAGTGGGCTTCATTTAAATGCAAGAAATTACATTTGTACAATTGTGCAATGGAGACATGCAATAAAGCATTGCTAAATATAAAATTAGACATTTCCGATTCATGCATGTAGAATTACATCATTAGTATTAGTCTTGCATCACACTTCAATTTTACACTGTAGTTCCATGACCCTCTCAGGGGATTTAATTATTAATTTCACATACTGAGAGATTTGTCTTTATAATCACAAATAAAATTGTCATTCTTTTACGGTAGCAAGTAATAATTTTCATCTGATGTGTGAGTCTCAAAATGTTCTTTGCTTTCAGTTACACAACCTTTACTTTTGTAATTTTCTTCTGTTTCGAGTCTGCTCCCTGTTCTCATTGCCCTACGTAGCTGATTCCAAAACAGGGCTTGGGCCTGCGTCGGGTCAGTGCAGCCTGAGCCAGGCCACTGCAGATAAGTCTTTTTTAACATGACTTTCCTCATGCGGTGATAAGATGACACCTGCCTCTCAGTGATTGGCTCCAGAAACACGAGCAGGAGAACATCCTGGTGCTCATCGAAGAGTCGGTAGCTGGCCAGTTGAATTTCCAGAGAACACCACTCACTTCTTAGGAAATCCCTGCTCACCACACAAATGGTTTTACGGCTGCTATATACAGCGGAGACGATGTTGTCCACAATATCACGGCCCAGTTCAAAGTCCCTGTGATGTAGGCAAAGTTTAAAAGATGATCCATTTCCCTCCAGGTTGGGCAGCAACTGGTCCATGACCCACTGTTCATCGGAGGAATTATAGGAAATGAATGCATCATATTTGCAATTTTCCTCCTCCTCCCTGAGTCTGCGCCACTGCTCACTAAACCAAGACCGGAATACATAGTAGCTGTACTTCATTTTCCAGTAAAGTTTGACATAAAGTAAAGGAGTGACTGTGAACAGAAATATCACAACTGATGTACTAAAGAACAGGTACTCTCCTAGATCTATGTAACAAACTTTGGTGTCAAAGTTGTATAATTTGAGTTTTGCATCGTGTGGGCACGGCAGATTGTAGAGATAGACCACCTGGACATTTGGGTTATGTATTGTCCAATTTTGCAGCATGCTGTTCTTGCAGGTGCAGCTTAAAGGAATATTACGTATGTCAAGGTAGTGGAGTTTAGGTAAACTTTCTAGTGCATCAACTTGAATTTGCTCCATCACATTGCGGTTGAGCTGTAGTGTGTGTAACTGTGTGAGATTCCCAAAAACCTCCTTTGTGAAGTTCTGAATGCCCATGTTTTCCACAATCAATTTTCTCAAATTTCTTAGATTTTTAAAAACACCTGGTTGGAGTTGTGTCACCCCAACACAGCAGTTATCCAATGAGAGGAAATGTAAGTCTGTTAGATCATCAAAGGCATCAGGAGTAAGATAAATTATGTTATTGTTTGTGAGATACAGAGACTTCAGTGAGTGGAGGCCACGGAACAAAGTGCGGGGTAAAATAGTGAGGCCATGAGGCCGCTGCCCATCCAATTTCAGATCACTGAGTTTGCTGAGATTCATAAATGGTGAACCGATGTCTTTAGTGAGGAAGCGAATCTGATTACTTTGTAGATCCAGCACTGTTAGTGTGTCTTGAAATACACGATAGAGGGAAGTGTCAATCTGTTTTAGGTTGTTTCCATCTAGATAGAATTTGGACAGACTTTTCAGTCCATTAAGGCCAGATTGCTCAAAATGAGTGATCTTATTACCTCCTAGGTCCAGTGTAGTCAGATTCCTGAGATTGAGGAACGTCCCGTTAAAAATGACAGAAATACGGTTATTGCGTAGGTTAAGGATTTGCAGGTTGAAGTTATCTTCAAATGTGTTATTGAACAGATCAGTTAAGAGGTTATTGTCCAAACGGAGCATCTCAAGCCTTTCCAGTCCTTTAAGAGCATTACGATGCAGAAAAGAAATTGTGTTTATGTTAAGTTTTAACATCTTGATATTTCGTGTACAATAGAAAGCATGAGACCCGACTGAGAGGATGCGGTTGTAACGATAGCTCAACTCTTCCAGATTTGGAAAATAATGTTGTGTTTTACAGGATGACAGTGAGGTTAGGTGGTTATGCTCTGCACTGAAGCTTTTTATATTTGTCTGATTATTGAGAAAGTTGAGACTTATTTTTTTCAGTTGGTTGTGGGATAGATCCAAAGTCCCTTTGATTTTAGGACAAGATGACAGAGTGTAATATGTTAGATTTTCAATCCCATTACTGCTCAGCCGCAAATATGTTATCTCTTTAACCTTTTTTTTTAACTGTTTACATAGCTCCATGAGCAGGGTGTCATTTTTCAGTCCTGTTCCAGAGAAATCCACGTGACCTGCATGGACGTTGCTGATGTTTAAAAACTCCACTACCTTAACACTTGTTGAACGCAAACGCAGGTAGTTTATATGCCTCAAATCCACTCCTTGAAAAGCCATCGTAGGGAGCCTAGAATTGTATGACAAATCTAGCAGCTGGATGAACCTGAGAAATGAATGTTCACATCCTAATGTAAACAGATTGTTTCTACATAAATATAACGTAGTGAGGGATTTGGGTAGCGACGCATTGGAGTGGCTGAGAGAGGTCAAACTGTTAAAGCAAAGATCTAGTATCCTCAGATTCATGAGATGTGACACAGACTCAGCAATCCCTGAGAAATGTGTCAAAAAGTTTTGCCTCATGATTAAAGTGTCTAGATTGAGAACAGTAGAAAAAATGCCCTCTGGGAGTTGCTTTAATTTATTTTTTGTCAGCGAGAGAAAAGTGAGATTGTGCAGGTCCTTGAACAGAGAAGGGTTGAGGTCTGATATGTCGTTAAAGGACAAATTGAGAGACTTAAGTTGATGCAAGTTTTGGAAAGCATATTGATCAATAATCTTCAAGTGATTGTCATCTATTCGGAGGTGCTGAAGGTTTGGTAGATGAACAAAGCTCTTGTTGGGAATGTGCCACAGAGGATTAATGCAGACGGTAAGATTGATGGCAGACGGCGGCAGGTCATTTATTAACGCAGACATGTTCTTTTCCTTTCGATGGATGCATTTGAAACTTTGTCCATTTGAGTATGGGTCTTCAATACAGTTGTTAAAGCTGTAACCACTAATGAGATGAACAGCACCAAGAACAACTGTTGCTGACAACAGCAACATTGGGCTCGCCATTCTGTCTTGCTGCAGTCCAGAGAAACAGTCCTTTAAAATGACTTTCAACAGTGTCTTGTTGCTGGGTTGGTTTATATTATGCTGGAAATGTCTTTTAAGAAGGCCTCTGGATGTTCATCACTTGAACATGGTTCAGGAATCTGAGAACAACAAGAGAGTTGTGTGATTTGAATGTTTCATTTTCAAATCAAGCTGATAGCAAAATGTCAGTCCTGTTTTCATACCTTTACAGGAAATGTGGAAAATTGACAATGTAGTTGAAGGTATTCTTTTTAGGGTCCGAGATATTTTTTTCTTTTTTATGCAAAGTAAGCTCATTTTTGGGGGCCTAAACATGCTCGAAAACTCACCAAACTTTGCACATGTCGGAATTGCATATTTTATGGGTCCCGCACATGGGCGTGGCAAAATGGCTCGCTGGCGCCACCTACAAAATTGGAAAAAATTTGTTGTACAAACTGAGTTTTTGTGGAACGGCGTGCCCGTGGCCTCGAAAATCGATGAATTGCCACAAAACAGGAAGTTGTTATACCTTCATTGTGCATGCTCTAAATTGTACTAAATTGGACATGGATAATTACAGTCCCGCCCTGAACACATGTACATGCCGACATTCACCCACAGTCATAGCGCCACCTGCTGGAAACAGGAAGTGACCTTCAACGAAGCAGCCCCCGCCGCACGTTTCACCTACATTTATGAAATCTCTGTGGCACATGTATCATGTCCAGGCGTACCAAAAATCCTCTTGGAGCAATGCTCTAAACCTAACAGGAAGTCAGCCATTTAGAATTTTATGGTCATTTTTGGATTGTGGAGTTACACACACCGTACTTTATCAAACTCCTCCTAGAGATTAAGTCCGACCAACTTCAGATTTGTGCTGTGCGGTCTAAAGCCATTGATAGATTGGTGCAGTTGAACAAACAGTGAGTTTTCGTGGAACGGTTTGTCGTCCAAAATTGATGATTCACCATGAAAGAGGAGGTTGTAACTTCAATGTTCATGCTCACATCTGCACCAAACTTTACATGCTTGATAACAGTCCCGCCCCGAACACATCTACATGTTCACTTATAGTTGTAGTGTGAAGTGCTATGTAGCGCCACAAAGGGGACACAGGAAGTGATGATTAACACGTTTGTGCAGCGTCTGAAACCCGTGGCAAATCCACACTTGCAGAGCTCCAGAATCTGCAAAGTGGCCGCTTCACAACTCGACGTGATACTCTGCTTGCAGCTTTAATCTAAAATTAGTATTTATAGGCGGATATTTTTATTGTAAAGCTCTCCAAAAGGTTGAAATATACCTTTTAAAACATTGTGGAATGACATTTAACATTTAATTAATTTCTGATAATATTTTATTTTGTGTTTTTTATATATATCTATATCTAAAATAGCAGATACAAAGGCATGGAAAGGAATAAATGTTATGCACAAATGCATATACAAATACAATAAAATGTTTTTATATATATAAATATAAATATGTTTTTGCAATAAAAGTCTGCTTTACAATAAAACATGAAGCCCCAAAATACAAATTAACCTATTTTTATGAGGCGTTTCAGTATGTTCAGTACATAGTGTTCCTACACTAACTCGAAAGAGTTTTTTGATAATGCTAGATTACCTTTCCAGAACCAAACACCAGTACCTTCAGCAGGTTCCTGTATTTGTCTCAGGTCAAACCATCCAGTTATTCTCACTTGAGGAATTGCTGTGTTTGCCAAGAAATTTCAGTCTTGTTGTGATGAGGATTAACTGGGTTCCTCTTTTGTAATGTTTTCATATCCTGTTTCACTCTGCCCTTATGCTCCTCCTCCTCCTCCTCCTCCTCCTCCTCCTCCTCCTCCTCCTGACATTTGCTTCATTTAATATAATCCACAAATGATACTATTAAAAGTATACCAGTAAAGTGTTGACATTGTTAGCTAAACAGCTAATAAATTGGCCTGCGGTGAGTTTACTGCAGGGATGGGCTATAGACCTAACATTTTGTGACAATCCTAATGTGAATAACGACAGCATTAGCAGAGAAAGGGAGACTTCTGAAATAATCCTTGTGCATTTTCCGTCATAAAGTCTCCCTTTAGTTGTTCTACATTTCAGATTCAACCTCTTTTGAATTAGATATTTTCATATTGTCTGTTGGCCAAGAAACATTGCAAATAATGATATCCTGTGATTAGTCTTTCTCATAAAATCTTGCACACAATTGTTCACACTCTTGTCTGATCATTTCTAAATATGGTACAGTATTTGAAGCTAAATTACATAATTTTGCCATGACGGCCTTACCTGTTCAAATGAATGTTCACCTCAAATTGCTTCTTCTGAGATTATCTTGTGCTGTGGATATCTCACATAGTCTCCACACTAAATCAGAAAGAGGAAGATGGGTGCAACCCATTTTTTCACTTTCATATGCAGTTTTACCTAATGACCCAAAAAAAAAGCCTAAATCACATAATTCAGATTCAGACAAACAAATTTTAACAAAATAATATTAATAAAATAAAAAAGAACATTGTTATATAGTTCATATAAATGTAACTGAGTTTAAAAGAATGTACCAGTCATGTTAAATGACCACTGTCAGCGCTTAGTACCTTGATAGCAGAAGGAATGAAGGACTTGAGTGTGGCTGTTTGTTCACCTAAGGGGCACTTTCGTGCTTTCTGGGTCTCCTGCTTCTCCCAGAGGGAACACACATCTCTTTGCTGGGCTCTTTCAAAATACCATTTAGGCTATTGTAGCAGACCTAAATTTATTAGTTATGCATTTTAATAAATTTCAAAGGATTGATACCCAATTATGAATTTTTAAGATTCATAAAATCATTTTTTTTAATTCCTCGTTTTAGGGCACCACTGGAGTTGTTATAATCCTAGAGTCTCCGGACCTCTAGGTAGTTTTGAATAATTATACAATTATTACTAGTGATCAGTTAGTTAATAATCGTTCAATTATCTTAAATCAGTCAGTCAGTCTCATATCTAAAGGGTCAATTCTCTTGGCAGGAACTATAAATAGGCAGCACACAGCTCTTGGTTATATTACATATTATTGAATTTATTCTCTAACTAAAGGTGATAAAAAGATGGTTGGATACAGGGAACATAAGCATTTGCTGAACAATGAGCCTGGAAGTTCGATTGTGGGAAACATTTGACTCATACGGCATAGAAGAGCTACTGAAAGTAAACTAATGCTATAATTTAGGAGTTAAAATGGACATCTGATCACAGAACGTGTGTTGAGTCTTACTGCTTGTCAACAGCCTGCTTCTGGCCTGTTGCACGGGTCCCACTCTAGCTGCCCGATCCTGGCTTTTTGCTAGGGATTGTCCGGGGGTCTCCGTGTCTGATTGAAAACGCCTCCTCCGTCTGGCAATTCGGCTGTTTGCAGGTTTCCTTCGTTGTAGCTGGCGAGACCACGTGGCTTGGTCTGACCTCGGTGAAGTTGGCTCGACGAAAATGGAACTTGGTCGTTTTCTGAATTAGTCCAGTGTAACTTAACGGACTGATAACTTTAACAAACAAAAGAAATAAAGAAAATAAAACAAACTGAAGGCAGATCGATGTCGCGGCACTTCAGGTGTGTAGCTTCAGGCGAACAAAGGGCCTGTTTGTTTCGCTGGCCGACTGAGGGCGTTGCCTGGCGAGGCACGCTGCGCGTGGAAGCGTCCAGAGGGCCGAGCAGAGTGGAAGAGCCAACAGCGAAGAGAAGCGCGAGAGGTCGCGAGTCGCTCTTTTGTTGTCTGGGACGTGGTTCCCCAGGGGGCGTCTCAGGTTTCCCAAGGGACTGCCTTTCTAAACTTAATGTCTAAAGAAAAGAAATCTATTTGCACGTCTTATAATCAAATATTTTCCACAATCGAACCTCAATGGTTGAACGGTTGTACTGTTCTAAGCATTTGGTAACAGGAAACAATTGTCACATTATTGGTCAGGATATTTATACATTTAACGGCATTTCCGATGAGGGCATGTAATACTTATTTCGTCCACTTGGGGGAGCTCAGGTTACATGAGGAAAGCTTGGATTAAATCAAAGATCGTCTCTCTTTTAGGAACTGGGAATTTTTTTGATTCATCCTTAAATTCAAGCTGGCGATTAAGAGTATAGTAAAACATTTCTTTGTCATCATTTCTAAAGGAATTTTGTAGGAAAGTATTATGAACAAGCATTGATTAGATCAGATGAAGGGGTGTCTTGCTGAAAATAAAAACTCTGCACAAGTAACTTTCTTTTCAGTACTAATATCAACAACAGATAGCAACAACAGTTAACATAACTACTCAAATAGAGGCAAACGTATTCAGGTAACTAAAGATTTAATTAACTCAATTAAATGCTTTGAGTTTTTGGAGAGTGCAGTCCTTTTACACTGAAAGTTCAGCTGTCCTGGACTATGTCACACTTAGGTGAGACAGGGGTTTTCCTTTTTGATGTGGTAATAAACAAAGAATAAGGTCAGTTGCCACGGAAACGTGTGTGGGGGGGCCAGTTTTGATAGGCTGTTCAGGGAGATGCCAATGGCTGGCTCGTGTCCCTTTGTCAGTTTAACAGTCAGGCCCCGCGTTATCAGCTTCGGAATCAAAAAGGTGCCAGTTTTATGGTCGGGATAGCACTTAGAGAAAGCAACTTTGACCCCTCCCCATCTTCTCTGGGGAGGAGAAAGGAATTTAGGGTAGTTCCAAATTTATTCAATATAAAATGCACAAATCCACACCGTTGTTCACTACACTATTCAACCCGTTAAACCAGCAAGTAAATGAGAAAGTGAATTCTTTGTTGTCCACACTTGAAAACCTACTGTGTGTTTACAGTGAATTTTAGTTGAGAGGCGAACACTGTTCCTAGATATGTGTTGACAATTTGAATGTCCTCAACATGTACAATGCTAGCTATTGGTGTGTGACTATTCTGCCAGATCAATGATCCTGAGTGTTTAATATGTTAAGGTCAAGGAAGTTATCATCGTGCCATTTGACAAACTGAAGTAGGACACAACAATGTTTTATTGGAACTCTCTTACTTAAAAGAATATACATTAGTTAATGAAACATACATGAAATACTACTTTTACAGAATATTAGATGAATACACGATATACATTATTGAATAACAGTGTTTGCAGGAAAAACAGTATCCAGGTGTAATGACAAAATAAATAATGTGTGTAAATTCACCACTATAATGTTTTAACTTGTAAGGGAAAAGCCGTTGTAAATCTCATCTTAATGTCTTCACTGGTTTGTTGCATAAAGACAAAGGAACAGTGAGTCAATATTTAACTTATTAAAGACAGTGCTTCAGTTTAAAAGTTTAGGCCTATTGAATTATTTAATTCTTCCATCATTGATTCACATGTTGAATACATATCACACATCAATGTAGCCTGGTTCCAAGTCTATTAATCCGTGTGTGTGTGTGTGTGTGTGTGTATGTATATGTATGTGTATATATGTGTGTGTATATATATATATATATATATATATATATATATATATATATATATATATATATATATATATAATATAGGGATAGATGGATAATGGCAATTCATTATCATTTATATTATCAGGCTATTATTCTTACATGGTAAACACTGTTCTATGTCCTGTGGAAATAACATAATGATGGTCATGCTAACATGAATCTCAAATACAGAAATTTTGTCCAGACCATGGAATGTAAATTTCCACATATTCTATTTCTTTGTCATTTGAAATAAGATTCAACGCCCCTTCTTTTTATCGTCTCATCTTTTGCTCCCGTGCCATCTGACACAGTCCACACAGAGGCAGGCAGGCCATGATTACCCAGTCATCACACACGGAGCCCTGGGAAGAAGCACAGGCACAAACAGTATCTTTTTTACAGGCCCCTCAGAGACTCAGTCTTATTTCACAGTTATTACAAAATAACTTCTATTTTCAGTACAAAATCAACTGTATCATTGGTTTTATCATTTAATCTGTGTTTAGACAACTTTATTGATGATAAAAAACTTTACGAATATAGCACAATTCATACAACAGTGCAACATGAAATCAAATAATCATAACATTTTTGATAAAACAATGAAAACAAGGAAAATAAAATAGGAATTAGGTCAAGTAAAAAAAAAAACTTCAGGAACATTTAAGAGGATCTGAGGGTTTTAACCATGTCAGACATTTAAGACTGGAGCAAAGCCATTCAGTGATGTTAAAACCAATAAAAGAATTTTAAAATTGAGCACACTTACGTCAATGTTGTATCTGCTGCGAATGCTTGTCCTTAGAGCAATCATGGCGCCAGGAAGGAAGGGCAGGCAGCAGCTGTCCCCATTGTCCTGAGCCACCTTACAGCCCAGGATACAAGGGAGAAACGTTGCACAAAGACCTAGAGGTGACAGCCATATAGTCATATTGCAAATTATTTCACAGTGTTGGCTAATTTCGGATTGATTTCAGAAATGCATGTAAACTCTTACAGATGCCGCAGTCTTCACAGCAGTCGCACACATTTGAACTCCAATCTGACAATCCGGAGGACACCGTGTACTGTGTGACTGTTACCTGAGGCTGCGAGCTAATCACATTTGACTGGAATGCCATTGCTGTAAGTAGAAGAAAAAGAATATGAGGAAGAGGAGAAATGTAAAAACAGATCGTAATGATTCAATTCCATGATCTTTATCAATATCATAGTCAGGTAGTTGTACTTATCGCTGTCCCTATGGCTTGTCACTGTCATATCTGTTTAAATTTTCTAGCCCTATTGCAGCAATGTATCCCCCAAGCAAATATCCTGTTTTATGTCCAGTCCTGTGCCATCGAAGCTTCTGCAGGTTTTCATTCCAACCAAAAATGATTTCAGGAATTAAATTAGTAGTGGAATGAATTCCTGAAGATTCTTCCATGTTGCACACTGGACAACCTTGGTTTGGAGGAAATGTTGCTTCACATCTCACCTGGTCTCACCTGAGATTTGTGTAAGGCTCTTGAATTGGTTAGTTTGGCGTTGTAGACGGTCATGGGATAAATCCACAATCCTGAGGGCAGAGCCATGGCCACAGCTCTTATACCCAGTGTGACATCATATAAATATTACTCACACACTACAGCCCAGGTTCTATGGCGATATGACATTGCAAACAATGACCATTTGGGCAGGTGCACATTGTAAAGACAAAACCCAAATGTTTAGTTTTGGGGCGTAACATCGCTTTCGAAAGGGTGCACCTAACATGAGGACGTCTTTATCTGCACACAGTAATTGAAGAACAAAGTAGCTATATAGTGCATATTTGTATTTCAGCAACTTATAAACCAGGTTTTACCTTTTAGGGCAGGTGTGGTATGTGTACACACTGTGGGCCCAGCTCTATGAATGGGAAAATAACAGTAGAAAGTGAGCAGTGAAGCAAAGACCTGGGTTGATGTAGAAATGAGTTTGTACTTTTGTGCTACCATATAGAAAAATATTTTGAACTTCTATGCATCACATGCATGCTGTGGATATGTATGGTGGGAAAAGACTCCTTAACAATTTAGAATAAAATACCTATTTTGCATCTGTTTAACGGATCCCCTTTGGCTCCCCTTCAGCTGTAGACCCACTAATAATTTGAATAGTCTTTATGGAGTCATACAGTATATAACACAGAGGACAAAAACAACATTAAAACAGAATACAAATCTATCTATAACAGGACAATACAACAATATAAACAATATTATGACAAATATACACAAAATAAAAATGCAGAGAATAAAATAAGTTGATAAACACAATTAAAGAACATTTAATAAACCATGGATAGTATGAAACACAAGACTTAATTCCAAAGATACATTAAAGACTTGAATGAAAAGAACTGCACTGTATCCATTCATTTTGACTGAATTCTGATTATATATAATATACAGGGTATAAGGTACAAAGCAGATTTATTTATCATATTACAATAGGTTGTAAAGTGAAACTAAGTTTTTTAACTGTCTTCTGCTACGTCGCAGACAATATACAGTAAAGTAAAAAACAATTTGTAAAATGGTAAACAGAAATAAACTATATTTAGTGGAGCAGTGCTAAGGATGAATTTGAGTTTAAAAGTCTAATTGCTTGGGGGAAAAAAGCTGAAGTCTGGTGGTGCGACAGCAGAAACTCATATATCTCTTCCCAGAAGGCAGCAGGGTGAACAGGCTTGAGCTAGTGTCCTTTTCTCTGCAAGGCACCCCACCTCACTGATGTCACTGATGCTCGGGAGATGGGTACCAATGACCTTCTGAGCAGTTTTAATCACACATGGCAGAGCCCTACGGCGCTGGGCACATCCCATGCCAGTTTGTGATGTTTTCAGTCAGGATTGGTGATAACAGTACTTTTTGCACAGCACTACCTTCCCAAAGAAGTCTGTTTGGATTACTGTAATTGGAGGGTTTTTTTTTGTTTATTCATAAGATAAGTCTGAAAGGAATTTAAACCTCTCAGAGGTACAACTGACCCCAAAGAGAATTTATATCACTATGTAGAATAACATACCTTTCTTTATCTGTGAACTATTTTTAGTTAAGCCAGTGTCAACAAAACACAAGGGTTCTCCTTATTATACAGGCTGGATATATCTAAGCAAGATTTAACCACATTTTAAATGTTTTTGTGATATACACAATATATTAGCTCATTTTAAAATCAGGCTTGATGACTCGTAGAGAGACTTTTACATGCCTCTACTTGATCATATCATAGTATTGCATTACAGTTTCTTGCATGTCACTTTTAGGAACTTACTTATTTATTTTTTTATTTCTGAAAATGTTTTGAATAATAGAATTACCAGATACGTTCAGATCAAGTAGCTCACCTAAGTAGGGTATTGAGGTGTGGCCTTAAATCATGATCCTATTGCAGTTGGTAATAACAAATCCGAGCAGTAGATGATATTATAAACCAAACTCAGATTACAAAAGCACCTGCCAAGACCAGACAGAACAGATCATTGTTATGCTCTGGTGTGACTCATTCACTGCATGTATCATTTTAAATTAGCTTCTCAAATGTACATGTTTGTGGTCCTCAAGGGCATTTTGTATCTTTGACTTTCATCTCACAGTGCTCAGGTTTTAAATCAAATTGCAAAACTGCAAACCAAAGAAAAAACATATACAGCATATTTTACATTATATAAGAGAGCTGAAAAAAGTAAGAATTAATTAATTAATTTACTCAATTAAAACAGCTATTGAACAGAACAACCATTCATTATGACCGCAAATCAAGGGGTGAATGTCCCAAAAATGTACCATTACTTACAGAAGATATAGAGCTGGACCAATAAATGGGCTAGGTTGATATACTGGCCAAAATTGCAGATATATTGATGTAAGCTAGGTATATGTGTCTGCAGATAAGTCACAAGAAATTTCAGCAAGGAAAGGCCAAACTAGGTTTGAGGTAATCTGTGTCACCATCACATAGTTTGTCCACCAGAGAGCACTGGCTAGTTGATTTGACTACAGTATTACAACAAACAAATCTAAGGCATCTGTCTCAACATTTTTTGCGGATGGTATTTGTTTGTTTGTTTTTTTAATTACTAGGCCTATCTGCCGATATATCGTTATTAGAACTCCTGAGAGCGTTCAGGTTATAACTTATATGCAGTGGTGTGTACATAAGTTCATTTTCATTTTTTGCCCTCATCAGGTCACATCAGAAAGGCACCTAAACAAGCCAAAAAGGCATCTGAGTTTCCCAAGTAAGTCCCAAGTGTGGTATTATGGACACATCTTTTTCCCCTTAAATAGGCACTTTCGAAAAGTAAGATGAGCAAGCATGGTCTTCCTTCCACACCTCCATGTGGTCACCAGATTACATGCAGACATGCTGTACACGAGACTGACTTAAACAATATGATTCTGTGCGGTATTGCACTTTTCATCATACAAACAAGTTGAATATGACAGACTGAAGCAAAACATCAGTGATGTTGCACAATAATAGAATTTACCAGAAGACCTTCAGTCGGGACAGAAGTAACCGCAAGAGTGTTCAGTTCCTCACACATTTAATACATTAGTTGTTTTTGAAAAGAAATCGTGTAGTTATACTGAAAGGACAATTTAGGACATTCTGTCCATCCTATCTCTCTCTGGTCTGTGGAAGGACTTTTGTCTCTCTCTACAGCGCTGACGTGTTTGCTCATATCAGACATCTGCAGGAAAGTGTCAAATCACAATCAAGAATAATTTAACAGGTTCAAGCTGCTTTAACAGAGCATAAGAGAGATTTAAATGTATTTGTTTTTACTACCAGTGTACTCTTGCATGATACCATTTGAGTTTTTAGTTTGTCCAAAGCATCTCTAATAATAAGCACTAAGTTGTAATCTTCATGTTTGCCATGCAATAGTCTATGTCGTTAACTTTAACCGCATAGATGAAAACAATGATGAATTAATTTCCTGTTGTGTTCTATGGAAGTGCCTTCAATTTTGTATATTTAGTATGTCACATCAGCCCCTCATTTTCTTCTTTACAAGATCTCAGACGGTAAGCCATGTCCTGATTATGATTTACTGTGAAATAAGTTCATTATTATAAACTAATTTCTTTGTTTTATTCAACGTCTACTGCACATAAATAGAGCTCTATTTTTCACTTGGTCAAAGTTTTAGTATTTATTTACTATTAAACAATTTTGTTTTGTAAAATTCTGAGATTTGTAAAATATGCAACAATCAAATAATGCTCCTGAGCGACTTCATCAAGTTACTACAATATAGTCTGGGTGTAATGCTTAACATCTTGACATAAACAGAACGTGAAGAACGTGGTGGAGACTGTGAAATTCCTGCCAACAAAGCACTTTCACTTCTCCTCCATTCGTGGAGGGTTGTTTTTGAAACCATTTTCTTCTTCTTGAGGGTTAAATTCACATAAATTTTCTTCCCTTTTGATATTATGTAAAGCATTTTATACATTGTATCAAAAATAACTCCTATCTGCAGTAGATATGGGTGCACGATCAAGAAAATAGATATTATTCCGTATTATATATTATTTTAGATATTTTTCCGTATAGAGTAATCCAGTCATGCACTGTCTGTCTGAAGGATCTTTGCAGATTAAAAATATATGTCACAATTTCCCTTACGTCATCTATCTATTCCTACTATAGCCACACATGTTTTCGGTTCCTGAAATTATGACTTCTTCTTTCTTATCCTCCCTCCTCTGGACAAGCGTTGCAAAGGCAGCCTGTGAAAAAGTTGGAGTTTAGCTAATGTGTTTATGAGTGTGCTCTCTTGACTGTTAAAAGGGTTTCAGGTGTTCTGCTGCCTCCTTTAAGGAATATGGATAAAGTCACATCTGACGATTACTGGGTGAGTGGGTATTTTTATAATGCTAACCAAGATGTCCGTCTCTGTTTGCACTCGATTTACTCAATTGTTATGCAGTATCTAGCACAGATGTCAGCTGTCTTTCAAGTTCAGATTTTACTAAATGTTTTGGGAATCTTTTGACCCTCATTTCAAAAACTGCCCTTACTGATGCTCACAAAAATAGAATGTTACTGGTTTCCTAATTACAACGATGGTGAAATGCTGTGAAGTACACTTTTCCTGAATAATTCAATTTATTTTTATAACTAATCTGTCCACTTTTTCTCCCTCTCTCATCAACAGTCCTTTTCAGACGATTATGAGAATTACACCGTGCCCTCTGACATGAGCAGTACTCATGCAGCCCCGTGCTTTCAGGAGAACATATACAGTTTTGCACAGAGATACTCCCCTGTTGTATACATTCTGGTGTTTCTCCTGGCTCTTGTGGGCAACGTGCTGGTGTTGTGTGTGATCCGACGCTACCGAAACTCCCAGAGTGGAGGAGCCTGCGCCTTCTCTTTGACGGACACCTTCCTCCTTCACCTGGCCATTTCTGACCTCCTGCTGGCCTTCACCCTGCCTCTGTTTGCCGTGCAATGGGCTCACCAGTGGGTGTTCGGCTTGGCTGTTTGCAAGATCTCCGGTGCCCTCTTCTCCCTGAACCGGTACAGCGGCATCCTTTTCCTGGCTTGCATCAGCTTTGACCGCTACCTGGCCATTGTTCATGCAGTCAGCTCTGGCTGGAAGCGCAACACCTGCCATGCCCAGATTGCGTGTGCCCTCATCTGGGTGTGCTGCCTGGGCCTGAGTGGAGTGGACATTACCTTCAAACAGGTAGTGGAGATGGATACTGTAGGCCAACATAGGGCGCTCCTGTGCCAGGTGTGGTTCACTGAAAACTCCACACAGTGGCAGGTGGGGCTGCAGCTGATCAGTGTGATTCTGGGTTTTGCACTTCCCTTGCTGATCATGCTCTACTGCTACATCCGCATCTTCAGGTCTCTCTGCAATGCCACTCGCCACCAAAAGCGCAAGTCTCTCCGCCTCATCATCTCCTTGGTATCTGTGTTTGTCATCTGCTGGGCACCGTACAACTGCTTCCAGCTAACAGATAGTCTGCAAAAGCTGGGCCTGGTAACTGAAAGTTGCCAGTTTGGCCATGTGATGGACATTGGGACTCTGATCACTGAAAGTGTGGGGCTGTCGCACTGCGCCCTGAATCCTCTGCTGTATGGCTTTGTGGGGGTGAAGTTCAGGAGGGAGCTGGCTAGAATGTGTAAGGGGCTGTTGGTGCAGAGAAGCAGGATGGGGATGGAGGGATGGAGGGAGAGGAGGCCTAGAAGAACCACAGGGTCATTCAGTTCTGCAGAAAGCGAAAACACCTCCTACTCTGTCATGGTGTGAAACTGTTTAGACAGATGAGTGTCAAGAGGTATGTGAGTTGAGATTCAACTGTGGTGTGTGTGTGAGGAGGCTTGTGGGTGAGAAGTGAAGAGTGAAGTGAAGATAAGTTAACTGAAATGACTTCAGAGAAAGAAATGACTAGATATAAATATATGTTCAGTTTAATTACAACTTTAAAAATGTTCTCAGAGGAAAATGTTTTCTGCCTGTGATGTATTTCTTCTATTGGTGCTTTGCTCTCTGTTTGCTGGTATGGTGCAGCTCACAACATGTTGTTTTGTTGTTGTTTCTATTTTTTTTTTAAAAGAATACTGTAGTAAAATTATTAAATGAGGATGGGGCATAGATTAAAGTAGAATGTCATGTAACCTTTTGTGAGGATAATGGTTATTTGTTATTGATTTTTGTGTCTATAGGTCAAATCTTGTGAAACATCAACATTGCTCCATACTAGGTGTAGCCTGTGACTTAGTCAGACTCATAGCTCACATCCTTACACATAGAAGATCTTTGTCGTCAGATCCCACAACGTTTGCAGTTGAAAAGCTGTACATGTTGAATTTATAATTTCTTGCCATGTATATCTGTTCTTGCAGCTCAGTGCTTTAAAATGGAACTTTGTGTTGCAAAAGATGGAAATAAATTCATTTTGTAAAAACCCGCCCTCTATGCGATGTACAGAAATATCATGTTAATATATGCATCAACACCTCAGGTTCTCTCTCTCAAGTTTACTCTCTGACCAACTTTCATCCAGCACAACATGTAGCTGCCAAGAGCATTGACAGATCTCATAGTTAATGCAGCCAGTGGAGGTGTATTCAGATCAGAACTTGATATGTAAGCAGCTTTTACATGTTGCAATGGATCGAGGTGGAGTTTTCATTTTAACTATTTATATACTGCTGAGTTGTTTAATCTATAACAATACACATTTTTTATAAACTGATGACTGCCAAAGAACTAGTAAATATTGAGGTCAATTGAACAGAACCAAAATGAAGCATGGGAGAGGCAGCGGTTGAAAAGCTATTCAGATCCTTTACTTGGGTAGAAGTACCAATACAACAGTCTAAAATTAATGCTTTTCAAGTAAAAATCCTGCATTCAAAATCCTAAGAAGTATGATCAACAAAATGTACTTGTTCTACAGTAAAATGGCCCCTGTGACTGATATATTATATTCACATTATAGACATTATTAGATTGTTAATACTGATGTGTCACTGTGTAAGATACTAATGTAGCTGGTTGATGTGTAACTACTCTAAATACAGTGAGTTAGTTTTGTCCCCAACATGCAGTCTGACCTGCGTGAAGGGTAACTTTTTGTGTTACACATATTTGTATTCAGTTTTCTCTAAACATTTTTGTCTCTGTGAAATGTTGGATAATTTTACACATACATCATGACACCACTAATCTTTTGTCAATGCATTTTCTAAGTTTGAGTATATTGTTTATGTAAAATCTTTATGTAAAAGATTTTATTTAGCATAAGTATCCTGACCATAGGAGTCATTTACTCTGGGGACACGTCCCCACCACTTTTTGAATTGGCTAATTTTGTCCCCATCACTTTTTGAAAGCATTTGTTAAAAATTTTCAGAAAAACAGCTTGCAACAAGAAATGTTAAATAACAAATGAAATTGCTTTGAGAAAGGTTTATTTGCACAATAAGAAAACATGCAAGGCAGTTTAAATCTAGAAGAAGCAGATGTGCATTGTCCAAGAAAGTAACTTAAGCTACTGATTACTGCACTATATTCCATTATATTTTTATATTTTGAATTGTCACCTTCCATCTGAATTTACTGATCCTGACAAACCGGTTGGAACAGGCCCTGGTTGTATCTATTGTTCAGTTTTGGAAACAGCTCAACGGCTCCGCCTATTGGAGAGCGGCTCCTTGTGCGGCTCATTGTTGAACTGCTTTGTGTCCAGCGTGAATCAGCGTGTGAAGATTGTTGCTTCGAGTCAGTCAAAGAAAGCGATTAAGCGGAAGTAGCGTAATTTGGCCTTCAAAATAAAGCACTGCATTACACGATAAAGCCCTGGCCAGTTTGCTGCCCTAGGCAAGATTTCACCTGATGCCCCTGGATTTTTGTTCATAAACTTACACATAAACAAACTGCACAGGTTTGTCTTGTTTTTTTTTTGAAAATATTTTGGAAACACAAACACACAACGTATTATAGATACAATATAAATATGTATTATATTATATTATGTTATTGCAGAAAAAAACTATATTACAGAAACCTTGCTTTCAGCATATGTAACATTCCAAAAATTATAAATAAGACCATTGCACAAAAAATAAATAACTATACACAAACTTGAATGCACTATGCAAAATGTTTAGCAAATGTTCTACAGCCTTACTCGCCTTGCCTTTCCAGCCGCAGCCGACAGCTGTTGTGAGACCACATGATTTATGCTAATGACTGAAAGTCCACTGAGACGTTCTTGAGCCATTGTAGATCTCAGGTAGTTTTTAATCAGTTTGAGCTTAGAGAAGCTCCTTTCTGCAGCAGCGACTGTCACAGGTAGAGTGGCAGAGATTCTCAGAGCGACCCACATATTGGGGAAAATTTCCATCAGCTTCTTCTCGTGCAGGAAAGTCAGGAGCTCAATGTTTGTCATAATTTTTGATGTCAGATGTGGAAAGTTTTGCATTTCTAATACAAGTTTCAATTTAATTTAGCGAACGTTACAGGCATCGTGATCGTCGAACTAACTTAATGCAACACAGATAAACTGATCACACATCATTACCTACCTCTGTGTTTTTCGCGTTTTTTTCCTCTTCTCTTCTTTTTTTTCTTCCCTGGGCACCAGATGGTTTCGGTCTTTTTGACATAATGACAACTTATCAGTGTCAGTGAATTCGGCCATCCGTCACTCACAATCACACACAGGTAACGGATGGGGTTTTTTTCAGCAGGGCGGGGGCGATGGAGATTGGTGCGTCACTCAGTCGGACCGGGGGGATTCAGGATTCCCCCCGGATTCACGATCGCTTTTTTTAATCCATAATATTTAAGTTGTATTAGTAATAAAAAAAATTATAAAAAAATTAATTTGGGCGCTCGGGCGCCCCAAGGGGTGGCGGCGCCCTTAGCATTAGCCTATTCCGCCTATGGCCCAAGACTCTTGGGCCATAGGGTCTGTGCCTTTGTTATGAGATCCTGTCCTTTTCATGACAAAACAAATAGCACTATCTATTTGCCAAATCTTTTCTCGTGGGTTTCTGTCTGTGACGCTGCAATGATTGCCATCACAGATTTTATTTTGAAAATATGTGATGACAGTGTTTCGATTTTCCCTGTGAATTGGCAGATTTGGCAGAGGTCGCGATGTACCGAGAAGGGTGACGTTTGATGAACCAAAACAACGCAGTGGGTGTTAAAGTGCATGTAAGTCCATTCTGGACATGCAGGTTAATGACCTACAAGATTACAGTCTGTAGGCGAAGTGTGTCCGTGTTGTAAAACTTCCTGCAGGTGAAGCGCAGCTTTTCTCATCGTCTGCCTTTTCGTTTCTTTCCACAGCTACGCGGAGGTTTTGTTTTTGTGGATACAATCTCAGTTGATTTTAACAGACTATTTCCAATTTAATTTTACTTAAAGTTTGCGGGGAAACACTTACAACTTTTTTGTTTCGGATTTCGGCCGGACTTGAGGATTGCTGACAGCTGCAGGAGCCCGTCCGCCTCCTCTCTCTCCAAAAACAAGCGGCTGTAGTCGATAGTGCAAAACTGTTGACGCCGGTGTGAAGGCAGACGTGCAGGTTGAAGTCATTACTTAGTGTCACCACAGAGATTGTCTGCCATTGTCTGCCAAGCTGAAGCTCTTTATGGTAAGTAAGATAATAGTAGGCTAGATAACAACATACGTGCAACTCAAGATCAAGGGCGTCACTTTGTGTTGAAAAGTGGTGGGGATATAGTGGGTCAGACAAGGGGTGTGAAGAGACACTTAGCTCGCGAGACGTCACAAGACGCAATATTTGGTACACAAGAACGAGACGAAAAGATCCTTAAACGGTGTTTTAAAGATATCGTCAATGCTGAGATATATAAGCGGGGGGTCTTGGGGGACCTCCCCCAGGAAATGTTTCTGCACCTATTTATGGTGTAAATATTTTTATCTATGTACAAGGAAACACAACATGTAGGTAGCACGTGACATTTCAAAATAAATAAATATAATAGAATATTATAGTCAGTGCAGCTCTCAGGCATTCTTTGTTGCTTTCACCTCTGTTTCTTCTTAATGTGCAAATAAACCTTTCTAAAGGCTTTTTCATTTGTTATTGAGCTGCAAGCTATATTTCAGAACGTTATTTAACAAATTATGCTTTAAAAAAGTGGTGGGGACAAAATCTGCCATTTCAAAAATCTGCCATTTCAAAAAGTGGTGGGGACATGTCCCCAGTGTAAATGACACCTATGCTCAAGATTAGATTTCAGTTTTGTCTAAGATAGACTTTTGAATGTTTGTTAACTAGAGAATTGTTTTCCTGCATAATTTCAGTTGTAGCCATTCTTGCAGATGTTCAGGCCTTTCCCTTTCTCTTTCAAAACGGATTCCTGTTCGTATCTACCAGCACTGTTTGCCAACTCACCAACAAAAAGTGATAATAGCCACAGCCACTTTGTATGACATATATTCATACATTTTAAGTGTGTGTGCTTGCGTGCATGGCAAACGGGAACATGTGGTTTCCGTTTAAACTCACTCCACTGTTGCCTCATACAGTGACTTTGCATCATGTGACATATGTCTGAGTTGGGGTGTGTTTATAAACCCTCAGCTGGGATTCCCATGGGGAGATTTTCAAGAATTGACTTCACTCTCACATGGCTGATTGACCATACAGAGAAAGAGAGGGAGGACAGTTTATAAGCTAGGGTTTTTTGACATCTGAGTTCTGAGGCACTGCAGCTTTTTTGATCTCTTTCTTTGTTTAACCTTTTTGTCTAAAGTAGATGGACATGGAAGTGGAGCTTGATGGATTATTTCGCCATAACAGCACCTTTGACTACAATGACTACAACTATGAGTACAAAGATATTGATTTAAAAGGCAGTAAAGAGGTGTTGATCCCAGTTCTGTACTCAGTGGAGGTGGTTATAGGTCTGCTGGGGAACGGGCTGCTCTTGGCCATTCTGGCTCAGAAGAGGCGATGCTGGAGTATATCAGACACCTTTATCCTCCACCTGAGTGTCGCGGACATCCTACTGCTGGTGACACTGCCCTTCTGGGCTGTACAGGCCGCTCAACATTCTGGATGGTGCTTTTGGGGTTTTCTCTGCAAGCTCAGTGGAGCTGTTTTTAATGTAAGTATACAAAGTGGTGTGTAGAACAGGCCCAGACTGGAAAGTAAAAGAGAAATCTTTACAGTGAAGCTGTGAGAAAGTTGTTTTTGGGTGAATTGTGTTTGGCTGTAGGCCATTACTTCCTGCCTAATCCAGACTCTTGACAGACTAGGGTCAATGTGCTTAATGTTATTGAGCAATTGTTCTCCCCCAGTGACATTCACATTTCTCTAGGCATCTCAGCATTTCTGGGAAGAGGCAGGAGGAGGGGATCTGAGTAGGGGAGAAGTGAAGTGATAAAGATGGCTGGAAGTTCCCGTGCTTAGTTTAAGTTTTTGTTAAG